TTTTCCTTAACGTGAAGAGAAGGAATCTAATCCACTGGCTTTCTCTTGGAGGAATTCAGATTTCTCACTCATAAGGCAATTTCTCTTTCTTCTCCAATATCTGGGCCCCCTGTTTCTATGAAGCATGGCTGTTTCATCCAAAAATTTTTTGAACAAATATGGGATTTCATCTGGCAGCTAATGTGGGAAAGGGGAGGCCGAAGCCCGCACCTCAGAAAATCAGGCACTTCTTGGAGTAGCCTGTAAATTTGCAGAAGGAATGACTCCCGCCATCTGTTGCTTCTTGGTCCCCCGTGTTGAGGAGAAGTGCTGGGCTCGCCCCTTTGCTCCCTCACTGCTGGAAGCTCTAGGCTGACCCAGTGGCCAAGACGCTACCAAGCCCTGACCCTGCAGAAGGCCAAGGATGGCAGCTCTGAATGGAGCCGAAATGGATAGTTTCTGTTTCCAAACAATCTGTGAGCCTAGAAAGTGTCTGGGCAGGTGCAGCCTGCCCTCAGGCTTGCTCCCCTGCGTGACCCTTCACCTCCAGTGCAGCTGGGTCAGTCTCTGTCGATCCCTCTTTTTAAAATTGTATTTTGTTATGCTAAGAACACTTATTGTATCTACCTCCTTACATTTTGAAGTGTACAGACCATGTGGCAGAACAGATCACTAGAGCTTCTTCACCTTGCTTAGCTGAAACCTGATGCTTGTTGGTTGGCAACGCCCCCCGTTTCCCTTCCCCCAGCCCCTGGCACCACCATCCTACTCTTTGATTCTATGAATTTAGGTATGCCACATAAGTGGGATCAGGCAGTCCTTCTGTGACTGGCTTATTGCCCTTAGCAAAATGTTCTCCATAGCAGAATGTTCTCCGGGTTCATCCTTATTGTTGCAGAGTTTCCTTCTTTTTAAAGGCTGACCAGTGTTCCATTGTATGTCTCTGTCACATTTTCCTTATTCATTTGTTGACAGACATTTAGGCTGTTTGCACATCTTGGCTGCCATGAACACGACAGGGCTAATATCTCTTTGAGATCCCGATTTCAAGTCTTTTCAGTATACACCTAGGAGTGGGATTGCTGGTCATTCTGTTTTTAATTTTTGGAGGAACCTTCATACTGTTTTCCATAGCAGCTGCACCATCTTGCATTCCCGCCAGCGATGCACAAGGGTTCCAAGTCCGATCTCTTCACATTCCTGCGTAGAGAAGCCCAGGGCCTCCTCAGACCATCTGTGCTCCCTCTGTACTCCCTTGGAGTACACAGCCCCATCCTCACCATCTAGGAAGATCCTGTTCACTCTCCATGCACATTTTCTGGAGATCTTCTCAGCCATTCTTCTCGTCTCTTGGTTCCTATTGCAGTTAGCACCTTCCCCTTTATTTGGTGCCTAATTCAGCCTGCACTTGCTATCCACTAAATAGCCTGTGCATAGCACCATATTAAGTGCTCTTCACACTGAATCTCAGATAATCTTCTGTCTGATGATATAGGTACTATTGTAATCTCTATTTTACAGAGAAATGAGTCTTAGTGAAATTTAGCAATTTACTTAGCTTCTACATTGAGCAGGGATTTGAACTGGGCTTTTTCTGCACCCAGATCTCTAGCATGTATCTTAGTTAACTTTTTATTTTCATACAAATGTCTTCCCAGTCCTCTGTGGACTAGGAGAATGTCTTTTACCTTGTTGTATCACCTGCCCCCCCACAGTGCAGCACACTTAATCATGCTCAATAAATACCTGTATTTGAACAGCAAGGAGAGCAGGGTTTTTATTCGCAGGCATCTAAACAGCCTGCATGCAAAGTTTCAAAGATGCATTAATTATACAAAAGCTACTAATATTAATGATTCCAACCATAACCACTAACATGAATCTCTCCTGATAAAGTATATATCTTTTTTAAAAAAGATTTTATTTATTTATTTGAGAGAGAGAGAGAGAGGGATGGGAGGGAGAGGCAGAGGGAGAGGGAGAAGCAGACTCCCCGCTGAGCAGGGAGCCCAACACCGGGCTCCATCCCTGGACCTCAGGATCACAACCTGAGTTGAAGGCAGACACTTAACCGACTGAGCCACCCAGGCGCCCTGATAAAGTATATATCTTTATGAGTATATAACATATCTGTCCTTGTAAAACATTTTTACACAATTACTTAATGAGATTCTAAGAGATTGCGAAAGCATGTTAATTACCTGGGCATAGACTATCGCTGTCCCCATTTTACGGTAGAGAAAGGACATTCAGAGAGGTTCAGTGAAATCCCACAGTTAGTAGAGAACGGAAGCCCCATGGAGCTGTGAGAACCGTGGGTTTCTTTTCTTTGTACCACAGCCACCATGCAACGTCTAAAGGACTGGTAATTGTAAAGGGCTGTACGGAGCGCGGGAGTGTTATTTTATTTAAAAGCAGGAGAATAATGATGAGATAACCCAGTTAGTTAAATTGGGGGGAAGCAGGTGAATCAGTGACCTGTTTTGGTTTGGGTAGCAGCTGGAATGTGGCCAGGTTGGGTTTGAGATGCAGCCCTCCAGGAGGATACATCCAGCTATTTGCAGAAGAGGGTTTCCGGACGGAGAAGGACGGGGAAGGTTTTCATTCCTACTTGCCCATTCGTATTCTGTGCTTCTGCTCCTGCTATCCCCGGAGCCATTTCCCCCACTTTCTGGTGCCTGATTCCTATTCATCTTTTTAAGATTCGCTCCAGGAGTCCCCACTCCTGACCCTCTCCTGGTGCTGTTGTGTTCTTATCATACCCTGAGCTCACCTTCGTCACTGTACCTCCCACGTTGTCCCATAATATCCTTGCACCAGTGAGCTCCTTGGGCTCAGGGACCACATCGTCTTATCTTTGGTTTTCCAGAGTGACTGCCTGGTTGTTGAATGACTGATTGACCACAGTAAGCACACGGCAGGCTGGGAGATGTGTGGTTTCTTCAGGAGTGAGGGGTTTTCTGGGGGAACAGGAAGCTTGAAACCTCGGATACGTGAGGCTTTGTCAGTGCCCGTGATAAACATTGACAGGAGACACACGTGGGTTGTCTTTTTTTAATTGTGCCAAGCCATCCAGTTTGTTTTAAAATATCCTTCGGTTGATTTTACTTCCATTTAAATTTTTCAAGTGGAAAACTATTTTTTATTAATAAAATTAAAAAAACATAAAGAGCACCAGGGCCATCCTTGTGGATGGATGTCTTCCTGCATAAAGTTCACTCTCCCTTGGACAGCTCACTGGTTCACTTTGCTTCACCTCTCTCTCCAATGCTCGTGACTAATTCGTATCTCTGACCCTTATCTCTTTCACACTTGGGGCATTCATTGCCTGTCACCTCCCAGACACCGTGGTGAGCTCAGTCAGCATTCCAAAGCAGGAGCGTTGGCTCTCAGAAGGTGCACCTTCTTTTTGGCACTTCCTACATTTTCTATTTTGGGAACCGGCAACTCTGAGCATAGGAGTTACAAACTTTGCCACCCTCACTGAACAAGTCAATCACTTGCAAGTACAGTTCACTCGAGTTAACTAGGGCTCTAAGAGCGGTGCCTTCCTTTCGCCCCTGCCATTGCCTTCATTTACATATTAACTCGTGCACCAGCTGCTTATTGAGTCCCAGCTACGTGTCTGGCACTATGCCAGCATGCACGATACATCGGGCCGTAATGGACAGAAGACCCGCCCTTGAAGAGCTTACCTTCTAGGAACAAAGGAGACACACAGTAAACACTGGGATCGATAGGCAGATAATTTCCCATGTTAGAGGGTGAGTGCTCTCGAAAAAGCGAGTAGGGGATCAGGAATGCCAGGAGTTCAAGGTTGTAGTGTTAAGTAGGATGGTCAGGGTGGGCCTCCTGGGCATGTTAGCTGAAGAAGATGGTGAGTGAGTTAGTTACATAGGGAAGAGCAGTCCAGGCACAGGGAAAAGCCAGAGCAAAGGCCCTGGGGCAGAAGGCTGGGTATGTGTTTGGCATGGGCAGGGAGCAGCAAGGTGGCCAGCATGGCTGGATCGGAGGGAGCCAGGTGGGCGGTGGTGGGGGGAGAGTCAAGGGAGGAAGGGGTCCCAACCACATAGACCAGTAGGGGAACCCTGCCATTGCCTTGAGCGGAATGGCTGATGCAGGGTTTCGAGCAGAGGAGTGACACCTTCTAAAATAATTGAACGACTCTCTCTGGCTGCCCACCTGAGAAGCTACCATGGGGCAGAAGTGGCAAGCGGGGAGCCCCACCATTTCTTTGCAGTAGCTTCAAATGGATCTCCGTCCCTTTCTCCTCCTTGGCAAACTTCCTCATACTTCAGCGTTCTTCTCTGTCGTGGGCCACATTTCCCGAGCTTGGGCAGAACCATGCCACTGCCCAGCAGTCGCTGTGGGAGCCCAGTGCACACTCCGGGAGTGGCCTTCGAGGCCCGTTGTGATCCGGCCCCTGGCTGTCGTTCCTGCATCATCTGCCCCCGTTGTCTGTCCCTCTCTCGCCCTGGGCACTGGTGTCTATGGCTTCTCACTTTCTGTCCAGCAAAATCCTCGTTTTCTTTTCTTTCTTTTTTTTTTTTTTTTTAAAGATTTTATTTATTTATTTGACAGAGAGCGAGAGAGCGAGAGCAGGAACACAAGCAGGGGGAATGGGAGAGGGAGAAGCAGGCTTCTTGCTGAGCAGGGAGCCCGATGCAGGACTCGATCCCAGGACCCTGGGATCATGACCTGAGCCGAAGGCAGACGCTTAACGACTGAGCCACCCAGGCACCCAAATCCTTGTTTTCTGAGCCTCCCCTTCTCCTCTGGGCCTGTGCAGAATCTCCAAGTCCGGGCACACTTCTCCGAGCTCCTGCACCCAACGAGGGTGTTTGTGTCTGTGAATCACACGTTGAATCTAGTTGTGTTGGAATTACTCAGTGTCCAGCCGGGTCGCAAACTCCCCATGGACTCCCCTTCCCATCGTTTGCTCTCTCCGTGCTGCAGAAAGGGGCCTTGCTTGGCTTTTGAAACAGTTCTGGTCAGCTAGTGCTTTTGGTTCTGTTTTGCAGATCGAAGTCCTAGTGAAGGACATGCAGAACCCGGAGACAGGGGTCAGAATGCAGAGCCAGAAGGTTCTGGTCACCAGTGTCCCTCACGCCATGACAGGTAATGTATCTTGTGACTTAGTCTTGGCCTGGGACCATCCACACACAGGGGTTGGCAATCTGTGGCTCAAGGTCCAAGTTCGGCCCGCGGCCTGTCAGCAAGCACGGATGCTTGATGTGTGGTGATAACTAGCAACTTCCCACACTGTGTCACTTAATAACCACGGTCAAGTTCGGGGTCGATGGGACCATCTGCTTTTTGCAGGTGGGGCCATGGACAAGCGGAGAGGTTCAGCCACTGGTCCCCTGGTTACTAAACTTGCACATGGCTGAGCTTGGATCTGACCCCAGCAATGTGACTCCAGTGTCCGTCCCCTTATCCGCTGTCAGTGTGCATAAGCTACTTTCTTTCCTTGCACACAGGGCACACTTGGTTCCCGGGTTTGGGCGAGGCTGCCCACCTGCCATGTTTTTTCCTGTTCCTCCCGTGAGTGAATTTCAGCTGCCGTTGGAACAGGACTCAGGGGGAAGCCCTGGGTCTTGCATCAGCTCTGATACAAGCAAATTGGGTAATCAGCACCCAACTCCTTGGGGGGCAGGTGACCCAGGACTTCTGGGGATGAAGGTGGCTGACCTGGGAGCTTGCCACGCTATTACACAGACCACGTGGTGCAGACGCTGGTGGCCCTGTAATCTTATTTGGTCTATTTTAGGAAGCAGTCAAATGGATGAGAAAACCCTCAGCTCCTTGGTGGAGAGCGCTAATCAGTCTGCTATCTGCCTGGGTCTCTCTCTCTCTTGGTCTGCATACCTCTGAGTAGCATTCAAGGAGACCCCAGGTGGAAAGTCTAAAACACCCAGTCCTAGCTAGGAGTTTATGTAGGATTTGAGATGAAGAATTTTGCTTTAGGACAGCCAACCAGGGGTGAATGAAACTAAGAGCAACAGACGAGAACCCACTGAGAGCAATAATGGTGGGCATGTGGGCATGGACAGAGGTAATTTCTGGACACTTGTGCCCCCAGGCATGGAGAGGAAGATAAGAATTGTAGGTTGTCCATCCTTAGCCATGCCATGGGCATTTGACCAAAGTACCTTCACAATGACCTGATAGGCCAGGTCTGAATTTAGAATTTTCTGACTCCTCGGAGTTCCACCTGGGAACTTGGGAGTCTAGGAGAACCATCCCTTCACCCTTAGCTCATCCCCACGTTTCCTCCCATCTCTTGCTCTGATTTACCTTCATGTGACCAGGCTCCATCTGGAGCCCCACAGACAGCATGCCTTGGGTCTGGTTTTATTCCAGTGTTAAGACTTAGGCTGTTTACTTCCTATCTGATGACTGATAGTCCATGCACAAATTGTTGTAAGGTAAGAAAATAAGTACTATCGAGGGTGTGTGGGGGAAGTTCAATGAGAAATCTGGCTGGAGTCAGATCCTGGATGACCCTGAATCATGGGCTGCAGGGTTTAGTGAACATAGTAGAGGGCAGTGGAGGGGAGTCCCTGAAAGTTTGGAGCAGAAGAGGGACGAGATCCCAGCTGAGCCCAGCAGAGACCAGTCAGGCAACAGCGTGGAGGAGGGTGTAGAGGTCAGGGGATATGCTTAGAAGCTCTGATAATGGCCAAATACTTCTGGTTTGCAGGAAGTGACGTTCTACAGTGGATCGCCCAGCGGCTTTGGATCTCTAATCTGGGTGAGAGCTCATCGGCACCCCTGCAACAAGGACAGCTGTGTGTGCAGCGCCCCCAAAGAATCTCTGGAGGGTAGAGACTAAGCAGAGGCTTAACCTTTGTCTCTGAGAAATTGACATCGAGAGACAAGGCATTCACGTGTAAAACAACCCGAATCAAAAATGAAGGCATGATAATCAGGGGGAAAAAAATAATTTTTCATACAAAATATTGAGAGCACGTGAATAATAGGTAGCTGGGGAAGAATCAGCCAAGAGAGAATTCTTGGAGGGGTGATGCACACATATAGCTGGTTTCGAAAGAAGGGATGCTTGTGAATTGTGGAGGGGAGCCCTGAGGGTCTGTCTTCCCGGGGGAACTAGCAGGCGCTGTGGTGTAGAAATGGAATGAATGAGACAGGGAGCGGGAACAAGTGGAAATTGGGAGAAATGACTTCAGCTGGGTGTGGAGGGTAGTGAAGGGGTAGGGATAGGAGTATCGTTGGCATGTTTGCAAATTGCAAACTTTTTTTAAAAAAAGATTTATTTATTTATTTGAGAGAGAGTGAGTGAGCAGGCGGAGGGCCAGAGGGAGAGGGAGAACTCCAAGCAGACTTGGCACTGAGCTTGACTCGGGGCTCGATTCCAGGACCCCGAGATCACAACCTGAGCCGAAATCAAGAGACGGATGCTTAACCGACTGAGCCACCCAGGCGCCCCTGCAAATTCCAAGTTTTATCTGGGAGACAAGTAATAGGAAGCCATGGGGGATTTTTGAGCATGGCAGTATGCATGATAATCATACGTTAAGCTGGGATGTTTACAGCAATTTGAGGGATGGATTGGAACAGAAAGAATCTGAGGAACAGACCTCCCACTAGAAAAAAAGGCTGTTGCTACAACAAGGCATAAAACATGAGGCTTGATGATGGAGGGAGTGAGACACGAAGAAGGAGGTATAGGGAGAAGGTCTTCTCAGGCTTTGGAGGCTGAGATGGGGATGGGATGTGGGTTGGGGCCTTGGGCCTGAGGACTGGAGGGATGGAATTCTCTCTCAGTAATGGATGGAAAGACACCTGCTTCATTGGTGCCTCTGAGAAAGAGCCAGGAAGGTTTTCCTTTAACTGATGCAAATCCAGAAACAAGACTGTGTTTCCAAGCTCAGTGAAGGTGGGTGGGAATTAAAGTGAGGTGGGGGGGAATGGAATCTGGACCTGGGATGCAAGCAGAATTCAGCTTGGGATAGAAGTTGACAATAAACTTGGCCTCCTCTTTGCTTTCCTCTTTGAGTGAGGAACTTTCTGTAGGTCAGAGACATTCCCTGCTCCTGGGGACTTCTCCAGACCCAAAGGGCCCAAAGAAGCTTCTCCAAACACCTGTGATACCCATTAACATTTGGGTTCACTGGCTCCCCTGGACTTAGGAGTTGTCATTCTCGGGGGTCAGGCTGTGGGAATCTTCCTCTTACCATGCTCCCCAGCTGATATTTGCCCATAGCCAAGTTCAGGAACCACTGTCCTCACTCCTTGGATTAAGTGCTGTTAGGATGGGGGCACCTCTCCTGGAGTTTGGGGTGCTGTGTGGGGGTCGGGCAATGAGCCTTCTGTGTCTGCTCTTGACTTCCATGTCTTAACTGTTTTTTCTCAGAGGCACAGAACTTGGGCAACTTTATTGTCAAGTATGGCTACATTTACCCCCTGCAAGATCCCAGGAATCTCATTCTCAAGCCTGACAACAGCCTCTACCGATTTCAGGTAGGTCATGGCCTTGACCTTGGTGTTAATATGGGATTAATCTTATCTGAGAAGGTAATTGTGTGGTTTCGTATCCTCACAGTAGTTTCATCTCAAGCCACAGGGCTGGGGGTCCAGGGGGACAGTCACAGCCCAGTGTTTAAATATGGTTTCCTGGTTTCTTTTGTAGACGCCGTATTTCTGGCCCACCCAGCAGTGGCCAGCTGAAGATACAGACTATGGTAAAACTCCAGCCCCCTATGCTTTTGCTAGCGCTTAGCATGCTGCTTATTTACTTGCCACATTTTGGTGACATTTGTCTTGCTGTCATCATGACTTTTATGTCAGTTCACATCTGTACTGGGAGTGTTCTCAGGGAAGGGAGCAGGGGTCTGCTGAGACTTCTTCCCACCAAGCCAAGCACAGCAGCCTCATGCACATAAAGGCTGCAGATGCAGTTTTAAAATATGATGATGATGGAAAATGTCATTGTTTTCTTTTCCAGCCATCTATTTAGCCAAGCGAAATATGAAGAAGAAAGGGATTTTAGAAGAATATGAAAAGGTACAGAGATGCTTTCAAGTACAAGTTGTTATAGTTGGAATAGTCTTGAGCTGTTTTTTTTTTTTCTCTTTCCCCTTTGCTACATCATATGTACCGTCATCATCCATCCATCCATCATCTATCCATCTATCCATCCATTCACCATCCATCCACCATCTATCCACCATCAATCCATCCTTCATCCATCATCCATCCATCCATCCATCCACCCATTATCTATCCATCCATCCATCCACTATCTATCCATCCATCCATCCACCCACCCATCCACCCTTCATCCACCTACCATCCATCCATCCACTATCTATCCAAACATCCATCCATCCACCCACCCATCCACTCTTCATTCATCATCCATTCATCCACCCACTGTCTATCCATCCATCATCTACCATCCATCCACCCACTGTCTATCCATCATCCACCATCCATCCACCATCAATCCATCCACACATCCACCATTCATCCATCCACCATCCATCCATCTATCCATCCACCATCCATTCATTCATCCATGATCCATCCCTCCATCTATCCATCCATCCATCCACCATTCATCCATCTATCTGTTTAGAAGCAGCTCCTGAAATGAATTCCTCCCCATGTCAAGCTTCAGTTTCTCCTGCTGTAATTTAAGCTCTTGCCTCAGTGACTACTGGACACACAATAGTTGGTGATGGGAAAACAATAGTGTAGCTTTTGTTTTAGGTCAGATGAGTCAGATTTCTCAAAGAACACACCCAAGCCCTCAAAAGGCTAGATTTCTGGGCAGACAGCATTAATCTTGCTGTGTTTTTATTATTTACAGACATATTTTTGGAAGAGCCAGCATCATGCCAATGTTAGGACTTGTCTTTGTGCATTTGTGATGCTCTGTCGTTGAATACTGAGTTTCTGTGTTTTCTCCCACTCTATTCTCCTCTTCCTAATCAGATTTGGGATATATTTATTTAAAAAAAAATCCAAGCCAGGGTGTGGCTTTTGTTGTAAAGGCTTTTTGAGAATTTGGTGCTACCCTTTGAATGCATGTCTTTGCAAAGCTGGGATGGGAGATCATTTGGCTGGGGCTAGGTTGCTGCAGGGCCAGAGGCATGCCCTCAGTGACTTAGAGCTCTCTGCCCTCTGCACACAGCATATGTCATGGGGCTTAGTGTTCTTTTCATTTTCCATTTCTAGGAAAATTACAATTTCTTGAATAAAAAAATTAACTACAAATGGGACTTTGTCATTATGCAGGCCAAAGAGCAATACAGGTAAGCAAAAGATGATGTTTGTCCACTGGTTGTCCTTTCTTCCTCCCTTCCTTCTTTGTTTCCTTTTATTCAAATAAACCTTTATGGGGCATTATGTGTCAAACCCTGGGCTAGGCCTGAGGAGTATAAAGGCACAGTCTGGGATCAGGCAGATGAGGAAACAGGCCATGATGCTACACCGAAGTGAATGCCTCACACAGGGGTTTCCAGAAGGAGCTGGAGAAACAACATTGAACCTGGAGGCTGCATAGGAGTTTCCAGGTGAATGATGGTGGTGGTGGATGGAGAGGAAGGGCAAGGTATAAGGAAGGATCTCCTAAGCAGACAGAACCAGAGTCTAGAGTCCAGGGAACACCTACTTGATGCAGTTCTGTGTGGCTGGAGCAGAGAGCATAGACCCTGGGACTGACAGAAGTGAGACCCGAGATGTTAGCAGGAGTAGATCATGAGACTGTTTTGTGCAAAGGGCCATGGGGAGCCATAAAAAGATCTTAAGCGGATTCGAGCGGTAGAACCACTCACTGCAGCTCTCATTTGCCTGCTGTCCACTTCAGAACTAGAGCCGGAAGTCCCTGGAAGGCTCTGCCTTGTCTCTGAGAGCCAGATGTAAATGTTAGAGAGAGTGAATCAGTCAGGACAAGGTCAGGTTGTCGTAACAAACAGCTCCCAGGTCCCAAAAGCATGAAACCATAGGTTCATTTCTTGCTTGTGTTACATGTCCACTGTGGGTTAGTGGGCCCCTGATGTGCTTTGTGCCCACTCCAGAAGCCATGCTGAAGGAGCAGCACCATCCAGGCTTTGCCTGTTGCTGGAGCAGAGGGAGACAGAGCCTGTGCAGGTCACAAGTGATGGATGTCACTTCTGTTCACAAATCATTAGCCAAAGCAGCTCCTCATATGGTTGTGCCCAACTTCAAAGGCATTTGGGTAGGGATGTACAATCCTACCGTGGGCCTGCAACATAGGGGAGTCAGGAATATCTGGAGACTGATACCATATATTACCAAAATGGGTAAGTCTGGCTGGCCCAGGCTCACTCACTCTGGCAGGTCCAGTTTCTGGAAGATTACCTTTGCTGGTGCATAGTTGGGCTGGACAGTGGACTCTCTCATCAAGCAGCCTTAGGATTGGAGTAGTGGGGATTAGTTAGGGCTCTCTAGAGAAAAAGAAACAGTAGGATATATATGTATGTATATATATTGAGAGATTTATGATAAGGCATTGGCTCACACAATTACAGAGGCTGAGAAGTTACAAGACCTGCAGTTGGTAGGCTGGGGACCCAGGAGAGCTGGTGGTTTAGGTTCGTCTGAAGGCTGGCAGGCTTGGGGACCCCAGAGCTGATGTTTTAGTTGAGAAGGCAGGAAGACTGATGTCCCAGCTCAAGGCCATCAGGCAGGAGGAATTCCTTGTCATTTAGGGGAGTATCATCCCTTTTGTTCCATTCAGGTCTTCAACTTAAAATACCCCCCTCTGAAAACACCATCAGAGGCACACCCAGAATAATATTTGACCAAATATCTGGCCATCCTGCAACCCAGTCAAGTTGACACATAAAATAAGCCATCAAAGAGGTGAGCACTGTTATGCAGGAGTGCTGGGTCCGGAAACACAAAAATTCTAATGGCAGATGGCTTTATTGCCTTGAAGGGGGGATATCTGCTCTGAGGCTTGAGATTCAGGTAGAGGAGCATTACTCAGAGACCTGGCATGGGCCTTTCACCATTGACATGTTTCTGCTTAAGTATGTTTGAGACAGAGCAGTTGGGGGGAATGCTCTAACTTCCCATCACTTGTATTTGTTCATAAGGCTTCATGGGGTGAGTCCTGTGTACTGTCTCCTTTCGTGTTGGTGAGAGGGAAGTGCTCACAGCAGTAATTCTTGTCACCTCTACATCCACAAATGGGGAAAGTGAGGCTTAGAGAGTTTAAACAGTCCGTGGCAAGGTCACTCTGTGAGGTAATGTTGAGCCTGGGCTAGTATTACTTAGTTCCAGTCAGTGCACCAGTTTTGATTTTCTACTGGGTTCCATACTGGGCCAGAACCCTTTCATCCTCCTCCAGCTCTCTGCTCTGAGCAAGATAGCCCAGTGATCTTGAGGACTGCAGACCCTGACAAATGCCTTTCAGGACACGCTAGCTGCCTGTGCAGCTCAGGGCTATTCTCAGTGGCTCCCACAGGCCCCACTACTCGGGCCTTTGCCTCAGCCTAGATAAAGCTCTGTGCTGCCCATGTCATAGGACATCTTCTCCTCCATAACTTCTAGATGCCTTGGGATGAGAAATTCATAAAAGGCTCTCTCCTTCTGAGATCCTGGCTTTCCCCCACTAATTCCATTGCTTGACTCAAAGCCTGCGTCCAATTTCAGATATCGTGTCTGCAGTGGCTAATTTTGTGTGTCAACTTGTCTAGACCATGGTGCCTAGATAGCTGGGCCACCACCAGTCTAAGATGACATGGTGAAGTTATTATTTTTTTTTAAAATTTTTGATTTTTAAGTAATCTCTGTACCCAGTGTGGGGCTCAAACTCACAACCCCGGGATCAAGAGTCTCATGCTTCACCGACTGAGCCAGCCAGGTGCCCCTGTAAAGGTATTTTTTAGATGAGATTAACATTTACATCAGTAGACTTTGAGTAAAGCAGATTGCCTCCATAGTGTGGGTGGGCCTTACTAATCAGTTGAAAACCTTACGAAAAAAGACAGGATTTTTGAGGAAGAAGGAGTTCTGTTTCCAGATTGCCTTTGGACTCAAATTGCAACATCAGCCCTTCCCTGGGTCTCCAGCCTGCTGGTGTGTCCTGCAGAATTTAGACTTGCCAGACTACTCAATGTGTGTTATTCCTTAAAATAAATAAATTATGACTCTATCTATCTATCTATCTATCTATCTATCTATCTATCTATCTATCTACCTACCTACCTACCTACCTAACAGTCTACTGTTTCTGTTTCTCTGCAGAACCCTGATTGATACAAACACAGGGTCTTACCACAAAATTAGGTTGGCCGTATAGGTTGGCTCATGAGGTAGCCATTTTGTTATACTGAGCCTCTCCACACAGACCTCTTTTCTGAACCCCAGACTCAGTATCCAGCTACTTAACATCTCAGGATGATGTCACACCTCAAACTTAACTTGTTCATATTGGACTGTTTCTCTCCCTCATACACCAAACCTCTTCCTCTAGTGTTACCCACATCAGTGCAGGGAACCCCATTTACCTCCCGCCCCCAAACCCCCATGCCCAGTGTCTAGTAATCCGGTCCTGTTGCCACCCCTGGCAAAATTCCTTCTGCCCCACCTGCCCCCTTCTGTCAGCCCCCACCTCCCTGCCCTGGTTGAACCAACCTCACTGTCACCCAGGCTGTGGCCATATCCTCCCAACTGGTCTCTCTGCTCCCATTTGCCCCCATTTTTGAAACCCAGATAGGGTCCTATCACCCTTCAGAGAGAGATCTCTCAGTTCGAATGTCACATGCTCAGAGAGGTTTTGCTGATTAGTTGTTAGTGAACAGAGATCATCCTAAGACTTAGTAGCTCAAAATAGCAACAGTCGCTCTATTATTTTTCAAGGTTTCTATTGGTCTGGAATTTGGGAAGGGCTTGGCTGGGCAGTCCTGGATCTGAGTCTCTCAAGTGGTTGCAGTCCAAGGGCTGGAGCTGGGGGCCTGTAGCCCTGACTGGGCATTTCTTGTCCTTGTCACGGGGCCTCTGGGCCTCTCCGGGTGCCTTGTGCATGGTGGTACTGGGGCAGTCACATTGCTTACAGGTGGTTGGAAGCCTCGAGGGCAAATATTCCAGTGAGGAGGTAGCTATCTCACCTGTTATGGCCCAGCCTCAAAAATCACAGAGGGCCATTTCTGACATACTGTGTTGGTTGAACAAGTCCCAAGAAACCCACCTGGTTTCCAGGAGTGGAGGACATAGACCCGCCTCTCAATGGAAGGAGTGTCAAATAATTGTAGACATATTTATTTATTATGTTTTTTCAAGATTTTATTTATTTATTTGACAGAGAGAGACACAGTGAGAGAGGGAACACAAGCAGGGGGAGTGGGAGAGGGAGAAGCAGGCTTCCCGCAGAGCAGGAAGCCAGACGCGGGGCCCGATCCCAGGACCCTGGGATCATGACCTGAGCTGAAGGCAGACACTTAACTACTGAGCCACCCAGGCGCCCCCTGAATTGTAGACATATTTAAAAAGCACCACAGTGGCCCTCCCTGATTCTGCACTAGAGCACCTGAACTTTTCCTGAGAGCTCATCCTGCAATTTGTGATTTTCTATCTATTTCCTCTTTGTTCAGTGTTTAGACCAAAAGCTGCTCAAGGGCATGGCATATGTGTTTGTGTTCGCTCAGGCCGCCAGGACCCAACACCACACACCGAGTGCCTTAAACAACAGACATTTATTTTCTCGCAGTTTTGGAAGCTGGGAAGTCCAAGCTCAAGGTTATGGCAGGGCTTACTTTCTGGTGAGGACTCTCTTTCTGGCTTTCAGATGGCTGCCAGTGTCTTCTACTGCATCTGTCACAGAAGAGCTGCAGAGCAAAGCCAGAAAGGACCATTATTGTCAATTAGCAACCAACTATATTTACCAGGCTCTCCAGCATGATGGAGACTCCACAGTGCCCTGGGCCGTCTGTGGCCCATCCTCCTGAGGCCATAGGGTCGTTAACCTGGTGGAAAATGCAGTTAGGCTGGCAAACGGAAGTTGAAATGACAGTGTTTATATTTAATTTCCAGGGGAGGTTGGCAAAACAGCCCGCCGGAATGGCACTCTCCACCCATCTGGCTCTCTAGATGTGATGATGTTATTCACAATACGCTAGTGGGCCCATAAATCTGCCGTCTCTGTCTTGTGCAGGGCATGTGCGTTATCCCGCGTTGCCTGGGCATACAAGCGTCAGCCTGTGAGCGCAGGTCGCCGTGGAAATGGTGCTGAATGGGACCCGTGGCTCAATCATTAATGTGGCCTGGCTTCCCTGGGAGGAGAGCGCAGCATCGTTTCCTCTCCATCGTGGGGAAAGGGGAGATAGAGAAAAGAGGGATCTCTCTTGATGATCCCCATGATCATCAGTGGGGTCTAGAAAAACCCTAACTTGGCACAAGGTCTTTGAAGTGACGGAGCGGCCTGGATAGGGGGGAGACACATGGACCACCCCCCAGCCCCCCGAGGCCCCGCATTTTCCCCAGCACTGAGCGTGGGCACGGCCTGCTGCCCACTTGTCCAGATGTTGACGATGTTGTTTATCAACGCAGGGAAACATGAAGCCAGGGGGTGAAATGTCAGTCCAGAATGTCCTCCACCCACTGCAGTGGTTGGTGCAAGTGGTGGAGGTCCGATGCTGGGGCCGGTCATGCTGGGGTGGCAGCATGGGCTCTGCTCTGAGGCAGAGCGGGACCCTGGGGCCCGATGTGGGTTCGAGTCCCACTCTGCTCCTTGCTGACAGTGTGACCCTCCGAGGGGCATATTCAGTCTCTCTCTGCTGTAGTCCCTGGAGCTGCTAAGTCAGGGGGAATAGGTCACTGGGGGGATTAAATGAGTCAGTACTTGTATGATGTTAGTGTTTGCTGTGATTATTATTACTGCAAACACAGATTATTTGGAGAGGTGGGGAGAGTGGTCTGGGTCATCAGGAATGGGGTACTTCACTGAGCAAAAGATGTGAAGTCTTACTGGCCTTTATGTGGCTTTTGGCTTTTCAGGACTGGAAAGGAAAGGACTAAAGCAGACAGGTATGCACTGGATTGCCAGGAGAAGGCGTATTGGCTGGTCCACCGATGCCCCGTGAGTATTAGCCTTCCTGGCTTCACCCATCTTATTCCTTCCCCACTCCCACCCTGTACTCACCATCCCTTTTGCTGGCTCATTTCCTGCTGGGGCTGCAACTGAATCAGCAGGAGGGGGTTGCTCAGTGTTGGGTTAGCCTCCGAGCGCCTCTTGGTGGAAGAGGAAAGGGGCTGCCTGGATGGACCGAGCTTGTGGCTCATTTGATGGTGTTGGGTCTAAGCGAAGTGACTTACGGGAGGAACCCAAATGAGCTTGCCTTTTATGAGGGCTGAATTTTTTTTTTTTTTTGCCATGACAACTTGGAAAACGATTACAAGAAGAAAAAACTAGAACGCAGGATTTCCATAAAATGCGGTTAGAAACTGGAAGTCTGCACAGCCCAAGCCAGGCCTTGTGTCTCTTGCCCCGCTCCTTTTCCTTTTCCAGCTCCATTCCCAGCAGCTGAGGTGGGAGGAGGTGAGAAGGAGTGAGTGTGTGCTCTGCCTCAAGGCTTGGGGCACATTGTGTCTCTGGCTCAGGGACTTTTTGGGGCCCAGAGGGACAAGCTGTGCATAAGTAATGTGACTTGTTATGGCTCATTATCAGGAATAGTCACCCACTGGGGTTACCTCTGCTGCCTCAGTTTCCTCCTGGGGCAAACCCGGGTGCTGCCTGTGGGTCACTGAAGGTGGGAGATGTCAAAGGGGTTCTGAAAAGTGAAGAGGTCAAAGGGAATGTTGTTCATCTTCCTCCTTTAGTTTCCCTGCTGCTCAGCTGCCCAAGTTCTCAGAACCAGAAAGTGAACTGGGTCAGTCGTGGCGCCAAAGCTTCTGGATTTTGGAACTTTGAGCTCATCAGATTTTGGCTGTTTTGCTTATTTTCTTTCTAAATTCAAAACAATACTCGTATGGTGTTCCATCTGTGGGGGTGTTGGTTTCCATGCCTCGTTGCTGAGGTTAAGGTCCTGGGGTTGATCCCCAAGAAGCTCGTCTGGTTTTGCTTTGTTCCAGGATTCCTCCTCTGGTTTTGCTTTGTTCCAGGATTCCTCCTCCCGACAAATCAGTTAGCTGATGCCTGACACAGGTCGCTGGGTGAAGGAGTGCATGGCTGGGATGACAGGGTCCTAGAGAAGCAGCCAAGCACACGCCCCCCCCCCCCCCCTTTGTAGCTCAGGAGTGAGATCTTTGTATGAGAAGGGCACTGGCATGGTTCAGCTTTGCCTTCTATCATCTGTTCCTGAAGGGGGAGCCTGGGTGGGGATAAGGCACATGGTGGGGAAGCCCCTCACTGGGCAAGATGCCCTGCTGCCCATGGTGCTTGTGATGGAGGGGATCCCGCTCCTTGCAGGGAACGGCTTCCACATTACCTGCAGAGACTCCGTGGTGGGGAAATACCCACCTGGCAAAGTGGCATAGACTGTGCCCAAGACCCCCCCCCCCCCACTGGTCTCTCTCCTCCCCTCTGTCCTTGCCACCAGCAGGCCCGTAGGGAACCAAGTGCAAAGCAGATGATTGGAGTTCTCCCGACTTCTCTGGGGGCAAGCTCTCAGCCCCCATGCCAGGCAAATCAAGGGCTGAGTGACTCCTCACAGTGTGATGCAGAAGTCCCTGCATTTGACAACGCAACTGCTTCCGCCATCACCTGCCCCGCCTCCACCCCTCCCCCACTGCTGCCACTTCCTCTCCCTCCACCTCCACCATCATCATCGCAGCTGACCTGAACTGAGCACATAAATGTGTGCTGGGCACTGTGCTAGGCTTCACTCTGCGTTCATTCTCTTGTTTCATCTCTGCAGCCCCGTGGGGAAGGTCCTATTATTAGTCCCATTCTGCAGATGGGGAAGCTGAGGCTCAGGGGTGTTGCCAGAGTTGCACAGCTAGCGAGGGTCAGACTGCAGAGCACTCTCTCCCGGTCCCTGCGCTCTTCTGCCTCTCACCACAAATGGCACATGATGTCTTAGTGCATTGAAGGCCTTTCTGTCACCTCCTCAGTCATTAGAGCAACGCGTGAATCCCTCTGCTCTAACAAACATGATGCTAGGGTTCAAAGGTAGCCAGTCTCTTGGAGAGCGCTGGGAGGCCGAGTTCTCAATGAGGTTCTGATGTCCCTGGAACTGTCGTAAAACCCCACGGACACAAAACCGTTTTCACACCCAGTCTCTGCAAGTCCTGCTCCCCTGAGTCCAAACTGGACCAGCAGTCCACGCTGAGGCTGGGGTGCATCTGGGTCCTGCTCTCCCGGACTCTCTGAAAACACCGGCAGCCTCTCGGTGGAGCGTTCTGTTTGAAGAGCATCCTGTTTGAAGTCTGTCTCAGCCTAGAAATTGAGCAGTCTCCCTGACAAACCTGTGAAGCCCAGGAGCTTAGGGGCTGTCAGACTGTCTCCAGGAGACCCAAACAAACAGTTAGTTCGGTGGGAAAAAAGCCAGCCAGGCAAACAAAGCTTTTGGCTCCGTGGAGCATTGAGCAGCCGGTATGTGGACTGTCTAACCAACTGTCACAGTGTGGGACATGGCTTGCCGTCATGCAGCGGGTCCCCTGTTCCCTTGTCTCTTCACTGATCTGTGAAACCTTCACGGGCCCTGACCCCGTGCTGGCTGAGTTTGGTGCTGGGCATAAAATAACAGCTAAAAATCATTGAGCCCCAGCAACGTGCCCGTGGTAAGCTCTTGGTGTGGACGATCCCAAGTACCTGATGATGCTGGCTGACTAGGGAGTCTCCCCATCCCCAACATTCAGATGGGGCGATCAAGGCTCAGAGAGGGCCAGTAGGTGGCACAGCACTGGGGTGTGAATCCACGTCTGTCTCATGCACTGCTGCTGTAAGGCGGGGCCCCCACGTGCGGCCCCTCTCCCAGCTCCAGGGGCACAAAATCCAGATTGCTGTAACAGGTGAGCAGCATCTCCCAGAGATAAGGTGAGGGGTGATTGGTTAAGGGGGTGGGGAGGACTGTGGTGCTGGATGCTGTATCAGGGATACGATCATGGGCAGAGGCCAAGCCCTGAGATGGGTGGTGTTGGCTGAGGGACGTGACCCAACCCCCACCCTGAGCCCAGATGCTGCCGGGGACTCAGCATCCGGGTGCTGGGGACAGGGTCGACAAGGGGAGAATAGTGAGGGAAAGTGATGTTCCTCTCCTGTTTTTTTACCCAAATGAAACAGAGTGCAGATCTGGGCAGGATGCAAACCACAGTTCATTGTGTAAATCAATGGTTCCCTTAGAGAAGTCATTCGGGGGCCTCCTATGCATCTTTGCTGTGCCGTCTGCTACTTCTGTGTCTCCTGAGGATAGGGTCTGCTGACGTAGGGACCACGGGTGTATGGAGGACATGGTCCAGGGACGGCGGCACGGTGTGCTCTGAATCACAGGGTGGCTCGTCTGAATATCATCCAACTGGCCTTCGTGTCAGCACCAACACTGACCCTCGCCAGGGCAGAAGGTAGTCTGCCTTCCATTTCTGGTCGAGGTCGGGCTAAATGTCCAACAACAGAGAAACTGCAAAATAAATTTAAATAAATAAATAGATACATTTAAATCTTTAAATACAAGATGATATCCACATGAAGGAACATCAGGAAGCTATTAAAATTGTATTTTCCAGGGCCCTTTATTGACCTAGGGAAGATGGTCCGACATATAATGTGATGTCATAAAAACAGGTGGAAAACCCACGTACTCTGAGTCAAATGAAGAAAGAAATCGACATCTATTTGGTGGGTGACCGCCCTGTGCCAGGTGCTGGCTAGGCAGGGGGGATGTTTGAATGATGAGCCAGGGCAGACGGTGGCCTGCGCCCCCAAGGAGCTGACAGTCTGGCGGAGAGACGGACACGGAAGCGATTGCACACCCAAGTGTACAGGGAGGCAGGACAGTTGGAAAGAGGCAGGGGTCCTGCGTCAGCTCCGGGTCTGGGACTGATGTTCCAGCCAAGACCCGCCTCCCACTGTAGCCCCACCTCTGTCTCTTTCCCCTGCTTGATTCTGTTTATGCAGCTATTTGGGATTTTATTATTTGTTTTCCGTCCCATGCACTGGAAGCGTCTGAGCTGATACGTTAGGGAAAAGAGTGATGATGAAGGAGAACAGAAGAGGAGAAGGGACAGGAGGGACGTGGTGGAGGGCCCCCAAGCAGTGTCCATCAGCTCCCGGCCTGGCGCTGCTCCAGAACGCTGATTCTGGGAGTCTTCCAAGCCAGGAGAGGTAGAAAGGCAGCCCCCTGGGCAGCTTTGAGGTCAGGGCGCTGGAATGAGACCATGGCTCAGTTGGGAGCAACTGAGACCTTGGGGATGTGCGGAGGAGGCAGGAGACAGGGCAGCCAGGAGGGCATGGGTGGCCGCCTGCAGAGTGGAGGAAAGCCAGGAGGGGCTGGTACTCTACGGACTGGCAGGGTCGTGAAGCCCACTGGGTGGCTACAGCTCTCAGAGTCAAGGCCGCCTGGTCTGGGCAGCTGGGGGCGGCCCTGTGCTGATTGCTGTTAGTGCAGGTGCACCTGTGAGCACAGGGGCAGCCAAAGTGATATCAGAGCGTGGGTCAAGTTCAAAGGAAAGATTTGGAGAGCTAATTCAAGACTTGAGCACACAACTGCACCGAAGCTGCTGAGGTTGTAGGGGCCAGGAGTGTGGGCTGTGTGTGTGTGTGTGTGTGTGTGTGTAAGTCTGTCTTCAGTTATCCTGGGGGGATTTCTTTGTACCAGATGGAGAGGACAGTTCCTAGAACTCACTTGAGGGAAAGGCACAGATTCTGATGACCCCCACCCCCTGCCCCTGCCCTCATGCTAGGTTCCATCCCGTTGAAGTCTGGCTTGGACTTCCATATTGTCCCTCATAGCACTTGTCACAACTCTAATTTATCATTTGTGTGATAAATTGCCGAGTGCCTTGCCCACAAGACCAGAGGTGCCTTGAGATGCCAGCTGGGGATGCCTGGAAGTGCCACATTCCCCCCAGGCTCTCAGGCTGAGCACAATGTCAGCCTTAGGAAGTGCGTCATAAGTATTTGTTGGTGGAGGTCCTTGGGTGTGACAACTGGGGCGAGGACAGCCACTCCCTTCCTCTGTCTTTCTCCCCACTTATTTTTTCTTTTCCTTGCCTCCGCTGTGTGCCCAATATTTGCCCCCATGGTAGCCTGCTGAGCTAAGTTGGCAGATGTAGCAAGTAAAACAGAGGATGCCCAGCTAAGTTTGAATTTCAGATAAACAGCAAACGATTCATGTCACACTATTTTTATGCTGATTGTATATTTATATTAAAAGCATATGGAATATATTTTTATGTAAATCATGTATCAAAATTATTTGTCATTTGTCTGAACTTCAAGCTTAACTGGGCATCCTGTATTTTACCTGGCAACCATACCTCTGAGCTGAACATGTGGCTGATCCTAATGAGGTTGAATCTGATTGGGAGAAAGCTCAGTGGCCTCCTGCCTCAGTGTAGTGCGCCTGGGTGGTCACATGTGTTGGGAACTTGATGGTGGCCTGCACCAAACTAACAGAGAAGGAAGTGAAAGACCCAACTTGCTGGCCAAGGAATTGGGAGAGACCAAGCAAGATTGGCTGGAGAGTTCATTGCCTGATGGAGAAGGGGACTGTAAAGACTGAGGGCCCCACTTTGGGCCAAGCCTTTACATATGCCATCTTAAAATGACTACAGGCCCTTGCTCAGTAATTGCTACCCTCTGTTGAGTGCTTTGCACATCAACTTGTTAAATCCTCAACAAGAACTTGACAGGTAGGAGGGATCCTCTCCATTTCTCAGGAGGGATAGCAAGTGTAGAGAGAAGTAGTTTCCAAAATCTTCCTCACTGCTAAGAAGTGGCAGATCCAGGATTGGAACCCAAAGGTGCTGACTGAAGCCTGGACTCTCCAAAGCACTGCACTGTAGGTGGGGGGGGGAGGGGGGAGGAGCACTGCCAGAGGAGTGAGAGTCCTATGTACTAATCCCAGTGAACTCTTGAGTTTGATTTTATCCATCCACTCTTCCATCCATCCATCCATCCATCCACCCATCCATACATCTGTCCATCCATCCATCTATCTACCCATCCATTCACCCACCACTATACACACCTGTCCACCCACCCATCCATCCTACTGGGTTCTGGGGATGCTGTGGTGGTGGAACAGCCCCATGAAGCTTCCCAGCTCACCCAGAGGGTCTTACAATAGCTGTGGTTCCCCATGGGCTAAGCCACAAGCCCTTCTCAGCTCAGTCTCATAATTGGCAGTTTGGCCAAGATCCAAAGTTAATCAGAAACTGGAGATTCTTCCAGTGGTGGTTCTTACATTGTTTTTATTCCATTCAGCCGGGAATGAACAATGTGCTGGACTATGGCCTGGACCGAGTGACCAATCCGAATGAAGTCCAGGTAAACCAGGTAGGTCTCGGCTGCATACTTTGGGCAGAGCCTAGGTCAGGTTCTTAGGCTGGGGAGTTGTCCACACGACTATTGTCTGTTTGTGTCTGTTGGGGCAATGATGTCTTCCCTTTGGGACTGCCAAAAAGATATCATGTGATTCCAGTGTCAGGGGCAGGGCCATGACAAGGGTCTTGTGTGATGATAGACGAGGGAATGTAGAGTGCAGGTCAGAGCAAATGGGATCTATGTGGATGGGCTTTAGACTTTTCCAAGGCAGTTCCCCCTTTGAAAATCTGGTGAAAGTTATGAACCCATTCCGCCCAGATGCCCAGACAGACATTTTGCACACAATTTCAGCCAGTTCCCTGATGTCCTGGAGACTATAGGCCCCAGGCTCAAAACCCTTGAATCAACTTCCGATTTAAACCTTAATCCACATGACCTAGAATGTCCCACTTTCTTTTGCATCTCAGTAGGGTGGGGCCTTTGCAAAGATTCTCTTACGCTTTTAGTTTTAGAAGGACCCTTTTCCCAAATAGGCCACCATTTAAGATGGGTGGCCATTTTCCTAAAACCATTTTTTATTTAAAGAAATGCAGTGCATAAGCTGCTGAAACAGTAGGCATCCAGGGTAGGGTTTCTCAACCATGGCACTATTATTTGGGGCCAGATAATTCCTTGGGGGGATTTCTTGCATGTTGTGGGACATTTGGCAGCACCTCTGGACTCTACCCACTGGATCCCAGTAACTCCATGCTTTTCCCTGCCAGCCTCCCAGTCCTGACAATCACAAATGTCCCCAGGCATTGTCCAGTGTGCCCTGGGAAACAAGATTGGCCCGACCGAGAATCATGGAGCCTAAAACACACTTGACCTAGTCTTAGATGGTTCCAATGCTTTCTGTCTAATGTCCATGGGCAGCAAGGGGTCAGGGACATTTTAGCCTCATGTGTCATCTCTAAGCCCTGGCAGTACCTAAAGGCGTGAGTGGGAGGTGAGAAGAATATGCTGGAAAGGAGGAAGAAGGAAGTCCACTGGGACCTGGAACTCAAGATAGCTGTGGGGACCCCCACCAGTGCAGAGACAGAGGCATGGGTTTAGGGATGGAGTCCATGTGAAGAGGGGATATTGAGTCCCCAGAGGGCGTCCCCTGGGGCATTGCTAGGTCCCCTGCCCACAACTCAAAGTGATCCTGCCTTTAATACATCCATGGCACTGTCAGCCTTCACGGCCTTTTCCACGTTCCCCTCGTCAGATGACAGGTAATTGCTGAGGCTTGTAGGCTTGGTTGCTATGGAAACAGAATCATCAAGGAAAATACTGAACCGGGGTGGAAGATTTGCTTTTTTTTTTTTAATGGATAACTGGCAGTTCTGGAAACCTCTGTGGTGTGGAGGAGGGGAGGGTACAGGTGGAAAGCACATCACTCTACTCTGACCCTAGCCAGCTGGGATTTGGCTTACCTGTGTGAGTGTGTGTGTGCGTGTGTGTGTGCGCGTGCATGAGTGTGTGTGTGTGTGGTGCAGGGGGCCTTACACTCCAGCTCTGGGAGGACAGCTGAGGAGCTGAGGTGCTCCATCCTCCATGCTGTTTGGGGGTAACTTCCAAGGAGCCTCGCCAGACCCCTTCTCACTGAGAGAGAATCTTCAGGCTCATGGGCGGTCAGGCTGGAAGAAGAGCATACCTTCTGGCACTTACTACGCACTTCTTGCCAGATGCTCAGAGTCAGAACACCAGACAGTGCGTGAGGCTGGGGGCTGTCCCTCCCATGGCCATGTTTGACACGGGGGTGCTTTCACTTTGTTTATCCTTCATCTCTCTCTGTCTCTCTCTCTCCCACCAGCTCTCTTTCTCCTGTCTGCACTCTGGCTACTCTGGAGTATTCTGAAGAATAAAGAACCGTAATTCTCATGCGAGCGCGGCCTCTCCCTCTCTGCCAGCCCCACTGTGTGTCAGGCTCAGCCACTGGGGGGACGGAGGCTGGTGCCATGTTTGATGTGTTGGCAGCATTTCCCGCCGACTGACCAAGTGGCCCCCGATTTTCCCAGTTTATCTGCCCTGAGGGGAGAGGGTCGAGAGGACGTGAAGTGTCCCTGTGAGGCCTTGGCCGTGCAGAGGTTCTAGATTTTTGTCTCGTTCCGGAGAAGATCTCTCATTGCTGGTTTGAAGAGAGAGGCCATTTCTGAGAATTAGTAAATTCTTGAAAAGATGCCTGATTTCCTTAAATGGAGGCAAATAACCCCAAAGAACACCAGCAAGCGTAAGAAAGAGGCTGTTCGGTTGGCGGTGTCCTAGGGCTCCAGGTGACCCACCTCCTTAGGCTGGTGGGTCACCCGGTTGGTGTGGCCGCCCAGCCCTGGGAGGACCTGCCCGTGGTCCCAAGCCCGCACCCAGAGAGCGTGTCCTCTCTCAGTTCCCCTACCTTGGGGCACACGCAGCCCCCCATCTTCCTTTTATTTCACTGAGGAGATAAAATGGTGGTCGGGCACTAGCCATGGGTGGTGGCATGCCTAGGGCTGGCCTTTCCTCTCCTGACCCCGACAGGGTGACCGTAGTCATTTTGTGATGAGGGCCAGTGTGGTGTGTTGAAGAAAGCTTTGATCTCACCGTGAGTCCCAGCTCAGCCGTTCCCTGGACATGTGATCTTGGACAAGCTCTTGAGTTACTCATAGCCTTAAGTTTCCTTACCCATAAAATGGGAATAACAGTAGCTCCTTCCTCCGAGGATTAAATGAGGTCATTTATGTGAAGTGTCTGGAATGGCATCCAACATGCAGAGGCGCTCCAGGGACAGTAGCTGTCATTATCCTAATGGTCACCATGCTGTGAGAGAGGTCATTTCTGGGATGGTGCAGGAGAGGGTCCTGGACTTTTCTAAAAGACAGAGAGGGAATGTGATTGGAGAGGGGAGGGACGGCTTAGGAAAGAGAATGGACTTTCAGATTGGGCCCAGGTCAAATTCCTGGTTCTGTCATTTATTGGCTCTGTGACTTCCCAGGTCTGTGACTCTTGCTCTTTTCTGATCCCCATTATTACCCCCCCACCGGCCCCTGCCCCCAACCACACCCTTCCAGTCTGCACCCAGGGTCAGTATCATGGGAGGTGACCTGCCTACTGGGCCATAGCTCTGCACTCAGTAGGGCCCTGCGCTTGGGCTAGTGTTCGCCTGGCATCGCCTTAAAATTCTTAATGCTTTCTTTGGATGAGGGGTCCTGCATGTGCATTTTGCACCTGGCCCTGCAAATAGCGCCATCTGTCCTGCCTCCAACTGATCAGGAAGCTCGCTACAGGACAGACTACTTCAGGGGATTGCGACCTCAAATTCTTGTCTCTTTGGGCAGGTCGCTTCTTCCCATCTCTTGTCTGCTTTGCATTAACTCCGTCAGTCCCCAGACTTCCTGGATTCTGACTTTTGACCCTCTCTCTGCTCTCAGTGCCTATATTCCCTGATTCCTCATGGTTGTCCCCATCTTGTATTTCACTCTGTGGCTTGCCCGACCCCTCACCTCTGTTTCAGTGCATATTCCTGCCTGGCTGCCTGGTCCCAGGTCCTTGCTTGTCCCTCCTCCTTGCTTCCCACACCCCTGTCTGCAATGGCCCCAGGCCCTCCCAGGGCATGGCCTGACTGACCCCTCCTGCCCTGTGACAATTTTCTGCAGCCCGCATCCGGGTTGGGAGGCCAACAAGCCAGCCACAGAGCTGTGTAAACAGGCTCTAGAAGCGTCCCTATTTGGGTAACTCCTGTAAAGGAAAAAGAATAAGTTAGAATTCCAAGAATGTGTAGTATTTGAAGATTCTTTAGGCAGAGTATCTTACAGTAGCACAGTGTGTCACTCGGATGAGGAATAAAGAAGCGACTTCCCTCCAGCAGGGCCAACTGTTGGGAAGGCAACGGGTTTGTGCATGAATTACAGGGAGAAAAAAATGTTTATTTCTTATGTTGTCATGAAGTGGTTGTCTTGAATTGGTTAGAAATGTGTGTGCGTGCGCGCGTGCGTGCGTGTGTGTTTTCTGATGACTTCACTTTAATGTCTTTTTTATGGCCTTTGGTTGAGTAATAACAACATGGACAGGCTTATGAGATTTAGCAAATAAAAATACTGGATGCTCAGTTGAATTTGATTATCAGATAAACCACGAGGAACTTCTTTAGTATCAGTATGTCCCAAATATTGCAGGGGCATCTTGTGTTTTATCTTGTAATTAGGGTCTACACCACACTGTGCCTCCTCTCAGCAATAGTGTATGAACCCTACTCAGTAGCCCTAGTATGTTGAGCCTCTGCTCTGTGCCAGTCACCTCTCTGTATTATCTCATTTAATGCCCTCCCCCTTTCGTGATCCCCCTTTACAAAGGAGGAAAGAGGCTTTGAAATGCTAAATAACTCATCCAAAGTCATAGAGCCAATAAGTGGCAGAACCAAGAATTTGACCTGGGCCCAATCTGAAAGTCTGTTCTCTTTCCTAAGCCGCCCCTCCCTTCCCCGATCATGTTCCCTTTCTGTCTTTTAGAAAAGTCCAGGACCCTCTCCTGCACCATCCCTATGTCCACACACACTTAACAGGACAGAGATGGCCTGTATGTCCATCTAGAGGAAGCTGATCCCATGGAAAGCTATTTTTAAAGCTAGAAACCAGTAAAATCCATGTGGGAAATCCAAGGTAGAGGTGGGGAAGCCTCCGATTCAACCAAATCCACTGCTGTCCAACTCCCAGAGGGTGGCCGGTAATCCTGGAAATCCGAGAATAGTCAGCAAACCGCACCACCGATGCAGAAGCCCTAGTGGGGTAATACAATCAAATAAAGTGAATTAAAATATGAAATATTTTAACACACCGAAGACTGAGATAATGGCCCCAGAAATATATTAGGCTAAAAGCCAGGCCATGCCAGGTGGAGGAGAGATGAGTGTGGTTGACTTGCAGGGACGGCTCCCCACGGAGCCCAGAGAAGGACAGGCAGACTGAGGATCTGGCTCATTTAGTCTCTGTTGGTCCGCTCAGGAGTCCCATGCTTGCAGGAGGTTTGATCTTGGCTCCTGGGCACTTGGCAGGAGGGTGTTCAGGCACTCTGGCTGCTGAGCACAGGCCTAGTATGATTGCAATCTTTACCACTGTTAGTGTTTTTTCTTCCTTAGCTTTATTGAGAGGTCACTGACATAAGTATATAAATTTAAGGTGTACAGTGTGATCATTAGAGCTATGCATACATTGCAAAATGATTACTACAATAAGGTTAGTTAACACCTCCACCCCTTTGCATAATTAGGATTTTTTTTTGAGTGTGTGGTGATGACATTTAAGATCTACTCTCTTTAACAACTTTCAAGTATATAAAACAGTATTGTTAGTTAAAGTCACCTTGCTGTGCGTCAGATCGCCAGATCTCATTTCTCTTACAGCCGGGAGTTTGTTTTTCTGTCATTAGTGTTGATTAAAGAGTGTTTCCTGTCTTTCTGTTGCATCTTGTGATTGGGGCTTTATCTCTCTTTTTGTTTTAATTTAATTTAATTTAATTTAATTAGTTTTTTTTTTTAAGATATTTATTTATTTGACAGAGAGGGACACAGCAAGAGAGGGAACACAAGCAGAGGGAGTGGGAGAAGGAGAAGGAGGCTTCCCTTGGAACAGGGAGCCCGATGTGGGGCTCGATCCCAGGACCCTGGGATCATGACCTGAGCCGAAGGCAGACGCTTAACGACTGAGCCACCCAGACGCCGCATTGTTTTAATTTTAAATTAAATGGCCGGACAGAATCAGTCCACGGTGTAGCACCCGTGGCTTTAAGGCAAAGAAGGAACTGGTGAAGAGTGTAGGCTTTTTTTCTGAGCCTCATGGATCACTCCTCAGCTTTGCAAATGGAAAATCTAGGCTTGAATCCTGGCTCAACCAGTTGCTGAGCAGGAGGTTTTGAGAGAGTTGCTGTAATATCTCAGTGGCTAGGTATCCCCAGCTGAAAATCAGAATAAGAAAACTTCCCTCCCTTAAACTTTGTAAGGGATCAGAGAGGTGTAAATTGCTTTGCACTAATTGCTAAGTGGTTACTATTATAGGCAAAGGTCCGGAGTCCACTTTGAACAGAAGGTGTAGACCAGTAGATATGATTTTTAATCCACTTGAGCACACTCTAACAAGAGAGTCTGATTGTATTAGATTTGAATGCAAAGCCACTCTGGTCCCAGGGTCCTTTTCTTCCTGAAATGTTAGTCTTCTAAAACAGTGCCTTATGTTAAGAGACAATAGAAAGAGATAATCAGTGTCGTTGCCAAAATATGGATCATTTGGGGAGTGTCTTCAACTGGTTAGGTGGAAAAATATTCTATTAAGCTTAGAATACATCTCCATTTTTCTAGGCCTCCAAGCACATGGCAGTTATCATTTATCTGAGGTTTTTTGAGCATCTACCGTGCACCAGAAATTAGGCTAGAGGCAGGCATGGTCGCCCTGCTCCTAATGGTGCCTGGTGGGTGATACATATATGAAATAGAATGGCACAAACAAATATTTAATTACAGTTGTGGTAAGTGCTATGAAGGAAGAAGTTAGGGTGTGTGTGAGTCCAAAACAGAGAGACCTACATTTAATATTTGAGATAACTCTCCCTACTCTCCCACCCTGGAAAAAAGGTTTCCTCTGAAAAGCAGTGACATAAAAGCAATCCACTGAAGCAAAATGAAACCCCGCATGGGTTAGAAAGGAGAGTTACGTATGTGACATTCCAGATCAGACCCTCCTCCATTCCTTGTCAATGGGCTCATGGCCCAGTACTTATTTTACTAACTGGCTAAGGGAAATAGTGTCCTCCTTGGGCTTCTGATTCTCTTCTCAGTGAAGATCTGGTTGTATTCAGCTGCTTGGATACCGGCAGCCAGGAACGGAGATGATCAATTTAAAGTATGAGAGTCAGTACCAAGCGGCCCCTGGACACAACCAAAGCTAGGAAAACCAGGACTGGAATCACCAACTATGCCCAATTTTTGAGAGTTGCATGGAGCCGAAAAGTGTTGCTAAGGAAGCATGTCAGATTATAGAGGATTTTAGTAGGAGGCAGGTCTGAATGGTTTCCAGGAGCTTCTAAGAGCCTATACATGGAGTCTTTTTTGAGAGCCAGCCTTTCCCTGCTCAATCGCAAAAAATCCAGAGAGAGGATGCAGCTCACCCCAGGCAAGAACCTGCTTCAGCTGCTTCAACAAGAGGATAGGACCCACCTGATATGATCTGCATTGGTACAGCTCCACTCTAGGACAGCTCTCGGTGGACGCCAGTCTCAAGTTTTTTAATTGTGTGCTTTATGTTTGGCAATGTGGCTCCCCCCCACCGCCAGTTTGTATTGGTCAAGTTGTTATGAATACCTGAGGAATGGATCTCACCATTCAGAGCTCTCTCCTGGGAGGAAAGAAACAAACTTTCCAGCTGCATATTTGTTTCCCGACTTTGTGTCTCATCCCATTTAGGATGGTTCTGTAGGCACTATGGTAGATTGGGACCAATCCCAAGCATAGTCTTGAATCATCTTGGCTTTTGGGAGAACAGTGTACAGTTATAGTAGTAAATCATATGCATTCCCTCATCAGAGCCTTAGTTGAATTAATTCTCCAGTGGCGGTGGTCATGGGAGATGCCTGTCTTTTAAGTAAGAAAAGGTGAAACTGTTTTTTTCATGGGCAGGGATTTTTATTTCTCAAATGGGTATTTGAATTATAATGACTTAATGGCATCTGTTTAATGGTTTTTGCTTCTTTGTTTTTACAGAAACAAACAATCACTGCTGTCAGAAAAGAGGTAATTAGTTTCCCAGTCCCAGGGAAGTTTGATTTTCAGTCCTCTAACAAATTATATGTACTTTGACTTTATGCTCTGCCCTCAGTAATGAAATGAAAAACGATGTGTAATGTTCAAACAATTATTTCTAAATTAATGGACCGCACAGAATGACAAAGCATCTTTTGTAAGATCGAAATGGATTGGTGCTGAGGCTCAGGATATGAAACAACATCAGAAGGCCCAGATCTGAAGGACGTGGGATGGATGCCATAGTGTCTGCCTCCCTACCCCGATCCCTGCTCCTACAATGACAGGGCCGTTCAGAACCTCTCTGAATAGACACACTACCTATTTTGGCAAATCTTGTGTCCAGGGCCCAAGACAGAGCCCTGGAAGGCATTGGCTCTTGAGGTTAGCCCTGCTCTGTGAGTCAGGGGCACCTGAGGGGAAAGCCCAGCATCTGTCCCCATGTCTCGATTTAATGCTCCTTAGAACTTTTTGTATTTCCAATTGGTGCCTTTTCCCAGACTGATACATGATGGGTTATGGAGGCCTCTAATTTGGAGTTTGGGATCACCTGTCTGCCGTGGCCCTGTGTCCTGTTAGTACTGTGGTGGGTGGCTTGAGGGGGTGGGATGGCAGGGAAGTGGCTTCTGGTTCTGGAGGGCACGTGTAAGGGCTGGTGTTAGTGGCACTCAAGGGTGGGGAAGTTGGGCATCCTTTAACCACTGTGTCTCTTCCAGATCATGTATTACCAACAGGCCTTAATGAGGTCCACTGTGAAGTCTTCAGTGTCCCTCGGAGGGTATGTCTCTAATTTGTTGGTCTTGCTGAGATTTGAACAAGAGGTAGACAAGAGGAGAACCTTCTGCTTTAAGGCAAACTTGAGCAGTCTTGGGCTGACATAAGATCCTAAGGAGCTCTGAAGGATGAAACCAGTCTTTTAAGGATTAAATTCCTAGGTCCTCAGTCTGCGTGTGTCCAGGTCTCATCTTGGGTTAGGCAAAATCAGGGATGGGTGAGGTTTTATACAAGCCTCACCTTTCTTGGAATCCACTAATGTGTGGATGGACAAGGTGGGAAGAATAGAAATTCATAGACTGGACCCTGTGGGGGATCCACAGTAGCCCGTGTTCCTATGAGTACCCACTCAAATTTATTAGAGATATGTGAGTTACATTTACTGGTTCAGTGTATTATTAAATGTCCAGTTAATCTTCGATTTAAAATCCAGTTACAATTAATTGGAAATTTACATTTGACGTATTGAACACTCAGGGTACCTTGATCCAGTCCCCCATACGACATTACTGGGGAGACACAAAAGGATTTAGTGCCCCCCAAATGTAAGCAGTTATCCTTCTAAAATGTGGACTTCATTTTAGGACCACCTTGCTAACTAAGATTTTCCTGCACACATGGCTTATTTCTGGAGAGGCACAACGTGACTACTCATTTATTTTGACTATATGAAACTTGAGTAATGGTACCGATCAAGATGGAAGATGTTGTATTTTGCCCAGTGCCTTTCTTCCAATATGGTTAGGAGTTAGGCTCCCATAAAAATCTTCAAATATCTTTTTACATCTTCCCAAATCCCTAGTTTGCAAAACCGCCCACCTGAGAAAATGTGCCCTGACCTCCCCCACATTTTTCAACCACTTCTGTCTGCAGCTGCTGAGCTCCACTGGTCACAGAAGGGCATGTACCCATATACTCAGTGGACACTCACCTTTAGGTTAAAATGATCATCATTGTTTTATGATAAAGTGAAACCCATCTACAGTGATGTTCCAGAAACCCAGTTTAATGAAACCATACAGAAAGCACATTGAAGGAGACTCCAAGGCTACTGGATACTTCTTACACCCACTTTCCAATTTTCATTTGTTTTAGTGGTTCAGTACCAGAATTTGACATCATTTGTGGTTGGACCTGAGGCCAGTTTTCTTTTTTCTTCCCTTCAGCTGCTCCACTGTAAAGGTCTTGCTGAGAAATATAAGAGGGTCTTGGGAGAAATGAAGCCAAGGAGCTTGAGTTTGTCACAGAACTATAAACTTAATGCTCTGGTATATCTCTAGGGCATGGGTTCTGTTCTATTGAAATTGCCTAGCTATGGGCAGATGTTAGAGTAGGTGTCTCATGTGTATGCCGTACTAGGAAATGTGTTGCCTGGGAAGGTCTAATTCACAGAGAAGGAATTAGCTCTTGCTCACATTTGTGAATGTGGGGTTCACACCTCATTGAGACCCCAGGCTTTGAAGTTCCCAAATGTAGGGGTTCTCCTGACAAAGGGTGGAACGTGATGTGAGGATCTCAGAGAGACCATGGCAACCTCATGCTTCCAAGATGACGCCAAGACACTGGTTTGAGCACACGCAAACCGAGTCGGCTTTGAATTTGGAAAACTCCTGATATAATATAAAGAGGCCTTATTTTAATGGAATAGGTGCGGTAGAGAAATTGCAAAGGAATTGGATGGGAAGACGATGTTTCATCTCACGAGTAGAACAGGGACAGATCCTGTCAAATACCTGCCCATCCCGAGGGCTATTAGAGCATTTTTCTAAGAAGGCAATAATAAGTATGTAACTAAATCGATAAAGAGAAAGGAGGACAGGCTGGTCAATCAACCTGAGTATTGATTTCGTCTCTTGGGTGTTGAGCTTCTAGGAAATCATTTTCCATTTGCTTTTCAGGATCGTCAAATACAGTGAGCAGTTTTTGTCCAATGACGCCATCATGTCAGGCTGCCTCCCTAGCAATCCTTGGATAACAGATGACACCCAGTTCTGGGACTTAAATGCCAAATTGTATGTATTTGAAAAAATAGCTTTTTGTGTTATAATTCATGTGCCATACAATTCATCCAGTTAAAGTGTGCAATACACTGGTTTCTACTATATTCCTAGAGTCATGCAACCATTACCACAGTTAATTTGAAAACATCTTCATCACCCAAGTAAGAACCCCTCCACCACCCAAAACCCCTCCAGCCCTAGGCAACCCCAAAACTACTTTCTCTGTGCCTTTGCCAACTTGGACATTTCATATAAATGGAATCGTATAATATGTGATCTTTTGTGATTAGCTTTTTTCCACTGAGCATAATGCTTTCAGGGTTCATCTGGGTGGTGCAGTGGATTAGTACTCCATCCTTATTTATGGCTGAGTGATATTCACTGTAAGGAGATAGACTTTTTAAAAATCCATTCATCAGTTGATGGACATTCGGGTTGTTTCCGTCTTTTAGCTGTTATGAATAATGCTGCTGTGAACATTCGTGTCCAGGTTTCTGTGTGGACGTATGTGTTCACTTCTCTTGGTTGTGTACCTAGGAGTGGAAATGCTGGGTCAGACGGTAACTCTGTATTCACAATATATTGCTTCTGAAAAGAAAACGATCTTTTTTATGGCTTTGCATTTTTGACATCTAATGAGAGGAAAAATAAGGTCCTGGAGGGCAGGGCCCTCTACCTGCCTTGGCAATTATACCACTCACTGCTTTGCTCTGTTTGTGAATTATAAACAGTTATGGCTCTTGACAAAGGCGGAAATGCAGAAAGACAGCGTAAGCCAATGAAGGAAGAAGAGAAGGTGTAATAGTCACACCAGAGGGAAAGATGGAAGAGGAGGGGAGGAAGGAAGGGGCTGGTAGGAGTGGATAAGGCAGGTGGGGTGATGGGAAAGATCGAGAGCATCAGGTGCATACCACAGTTCAGGTCGCCACCAAAGTCATTACCACGTAAGGCCTGAGGACATGCAGGTAGGACAGATCCAGCTCAGTGGAGAGACATAGCTTTCCCATAGCTTGGGGAACCCTTGCACCCATTCCTTCTGGCCTGCTATGGGCAGCTGATGGGTTAAAGAGGGCTCTCATCTGGAGTTTGGGGTCACCTGTCTACAAGTGTCACTTGCAGAGCTGAAGACTCTAGAACCACCCACTGGAGAAGCTTCCCTCTCACTCTGGGGGCTCCAGTTATTGTGGTGGTTTTCTGGAGCCTACGCCTGCCTCCCAGGGTGTCAGGGCAGAGAAGTGACCTGAATCTCCTTGTGTGCAAGGATGTGCAGAATTCCGCCGTCCGTGAGGAGACGGTGGAGCCACCTGGCCAGGAGAAGGGTTGTCCCGGGAGGGCTTGGGACAGAGGTGTGGAGAGCCGCCGGATTTTATTTTATTTTTTATTTTATTTTTTTTAAAGATTTTATTTATTTATTTGACAGAGAGAGAGATAGCGAGAGCAGTAACACAAGCAGGGGGAATGGGAGAGGGAGAAGCAGGCTTCTTGCCGAGCAGGGAGCCCGATGTGGGACTCGATCCCAGGACCCTGGGATCACGACCTGAGCCGAAGGCAGACGCTTAACGACTGAGCCACCCAGGCGCCCCAGAGCCGCCGGATTTTAAATGAAATGGAGAATATGGTATTGAAGCATGAGGCAGAGATTTGCTGGGGAAAAGAACACGGGAGGTACCAAATGTCCCGCTGAAAACAGGAAGCCTTGTTCGGAATGGGTGAGATCTTAAAGCTGTATTAAAATCACCTGGGAGGGTTCAAAATGAAAAAGAAACAAAAACCAATGTCCAGGGGCGCCTGGGGGGCTCGGTTGGTTAAGCGACTGCCTTCGGCTCAGGTCATGACGCTGGAGTCCCGGGATGGAGTCCCTCAACGGGCTCCCTGCTCAGCGGGGTGTCTGCTTGTCCCTCTGACCCTCCCCACTCTCATGCCCTCTCTGTCTTTCTCTCTCTCTCAATAAAGAAATAAAAATCTTTTAAAAAAATCCCAATGTCCAGCCTTCACCCCCAAAGCCTCTTAATTGGCCCAGGCTACCTTCTTATCCTCACCAGTGGTTTTTAGAAGCTGCCATTGACTTTAATGAACAGCCGGGATTCCTAACACCAGTTTGGAGCTTTGGTTCCCAGTGTGGTCCCTGGACCAGTAGCTGCAGCATCCCTGGGGAGCTTGTTAGAAATGCAAATTCTCGGGCGCCTGGGTGGCTCAGTCGGTTAAGCGACTGCCTTCGGCTCAGGTCATGATCCCGGAGTCCCGGGATCGAGTCCCACGTCGGGCTCCCTGCTCAGCAGGGAGTCTGCTTCTCCCTCTGACCCTCCTCCCTCTCGTGGTCTCTGTCTCTCATTCTCTCTTTCAAATAAATAAATAAAATCTTAAAAAAAAAAAAAAAGAACTGCAAATTCTCGGCCCCACCGACCCCTGTGAATCCGGAACTTAAGGGATAGTGCCCCGCAGTGTGTGTTTGTCTGAGTCTTCCAGGTGATTCGGACGCATGCTGAAGTTCGCACACCACTGTTTTTGTTCGTTTGTTTTTTGGAATTGCTTCTTGTGTGAGCCTTGGTCTTCTCAGCAATAACACGGGGTTGACAAGGGTCAGCTCACAGCGTTCTCTTAAGGACCCAGTGACGTGCGTGTAAAGCACAGTGCCTCCCAGGCGGTGACATTCTGTAAATGGTGGCTCTTAATGTTAGTACAGGGTTGTTACTGTTTTCACGCTCTTGTCAGAGAAAGCATGAACCTGCTTGGCTGATTTAGAGCCCATGAATCGTAGCCGGCCACGGTTCTAGCTGCTACGTTACTGGGAGGTGTGGTGTCGTGGACTTGGAAACCTTTGTTTCCGAGGGGCTGTGTTGGGTTCTGGAGAAGTTTATAAGGAATAGGAGAAATGCCCACTCTTTTCCTCATTTTCTGGAATGTTAGACCTCAGCCAGCTGTGCTCCAGTGTCCTACCCGGGAGCATCGAGACCTTTTCTAACAGGGAAGTGGTTTGGGACTTGCGTCTTGGATCGGGCTCTGAGGGAGGGTGCCTCGGTGACAGTAGGGTCTGCCTGGGGCTCGGGGCCTGCGGGCAGGCACAGGAAGAATCATCGACTCCTCCTAGATGCGCCTGTGCTCCCGTGGTGAAGGGGCGTGGGGCGGGATGGCAGTGACCCCAGCACCCATCACCGGTGCTGCTCTGGAATTTTCTTCTGGTCTGGTGGGGTAGCCTGACCGACCCTCTGCTGGCCAGTCTCCACAGGCCTTGGAGGGGGGCATCTGTGTTCCTTTGCCCTGAAGAAGAAGGGAGCCGGCCGGAGTATGAGGCTGTTCGCTGTGAGCATCCTTCTTACCTCTGGGGTACCAGCTTTCCAGATGAGTCCCAGGGGACTTATCTGAGGCTGCATGTTCCTAGCAAGTGATTATGTGGTTTGTCTGTCTGTGCAGGGATTGAGGGAGGAGGACTGGGTTGAGCCCTGGGCCATGGGACTCGTGAGCTTAGTGGGGGCCCGTGCCTTGAATTGAGTGTCTGGTGCATTTACAAATCATCATCCTTGCAGGGTAGAAATCCCAACCAAGATGCGAGTGGAACGATGGGCCTTCAACTTCAGTGAATTGATCCGAGACCCCAAGGGCCGACAGAGCTTCCAGTACTTTCTCAAGAAAGAATTCAGTGGTGGGTCTTTTGATTTTTTAATACAGTTTTTTGCTTTTAGAAAAAAAAAAAGAAACACTCCTGTCCTGTCTGGTATAGGGTTTCGATGATTTCTCAGTAGATGTTTTCCCAGCTCTGCTGCTGGGTGCTCTTCTTGGACATGTCCTTTCCATCTGTTCCAAGAGGCCCCACAGTTGGGGTGGGGCGGGGGCGGGGGTGGGGTGGGGCTAGGGGCTTGGATCCGCAGACGAAATCCATGCAGCTAATGCAGCATGACTCGCATATGCAAGGGCTCTGTCCCCTCTGGCTGTTCTCACTTCCTCACGCTGATTCTGGGGTCACCGATCCAAGAGTCCTGCGTCCCCTGCTGCGAAGTGCAAACTTTCCCTTTTTGTCTAGCAGCCCGGTTTCCTTCAGCTCAGCGCTTCTCTGCCCAGGTTGTGCATTCGGTTCACCTGGGGGTATTTTAAAAACATCTGCCAAGATCCCATCTCCAGATGCTCCTTTTTAAAATTGGTTTGGGGCGTGATCTCCGCAGGTGCGAGAACACCCCAGGTGATTCTCATATGTGGCTGTGATTGAGAACCACTGTCTCAGCTCCCGCTCTGCTGCCTACACACAGGGCCTTAGGAGCATGCTGGTCTTAGTGGGATGGGGGGGGCATTTTATACTCCGTCTCCGGGTGGCTCAGCATGGTAGGGAGGCACTTGTAACTTGAAAATTAAAGGCACGATTAAGACCAATTTCATCAGGCTGAGCACTCAGGTGGCTTCTCTTTTGCTTTGCAGATGTGCTTTTATATGGGATTCGTTCATTTGCTTACTGAATCCCCAGCCCTGCAGAGCATCATCATATTTGAACCTCCATTCTCAGCTGCTTCCTCCCAAGACCCATTTGTCTATGGGGTTTCGCCTGAAACTAATCCCAGGGGACACGCCATTAGCCTGTTTGACTGCCTGATGCAGCACATTACATTATAATATGGATTCCTGACAATCCTTCTCTCTAATCAAGCCTAATTGCCATGATATGATAAAACCCAGAATAGATGATGGGAAAGGCAAGTGCTTTTAGCAAGGGCCGGGAAGCAACTCTAGAAGAAGAGGCTAGGGTGCCATCTAGTGGCGAAATGACACACTGCACCCTGGGCTTACCCCACCCAGGGCTTGGTTAACAGTGAGAATCCCTTGAAAAGATTTCCCTGTGTTATTAAAATAGTATTTCTGGCGATCTCTTTAAGAGATTCCCGAATTGTGAGTTTTCTCATTTAAATAACATTAAAAAAATTGAGATCTACTTCACATACCATAAATACACGTACCATGTAATTCACATGCTGTAACCCTTTTAAAGTGTACAGTTCCGTGGTTTTTAGTGTATTCGCAAAGCTGCACAACCATCATCACTATATAATTGTAGACCATTTCTTACCACCTCATAAAGAAGCCCCTTACCCATTAAAAGCCATTCCCTCTTCCTCTCTCTTCCTCTTCCTCTCCCCCCCCCCCCGCTTTCCCCCTCCCCCACCAGTCCTAGGTGACCAGTAATTTATTGTCTATCTTAATGGATATGCCCGTTCTGGACATTTCATATAAATGGAATCATGCGATGTGTGGCTTTTTGTCTTCTTTCACACAACATAGTGTTTCCAGGATTCATCCCTATCAGAGTATTTAAGGGAATATCCCATCGTATGGATAGACCACGTTTCTCGTTTATCCATTCATACTTTGGTGGCCCTTTGGGTTGTTTAGACTTTTCGGTTCTGGTGAATAATGCTGCTTTGCACATTCATGCACACATTTTTGTGTGCTCGTTTATTTTTTTTTAAAGATTTTATTTATTTATTTGACAAAGAGAGACATAGCGAGGGAGGGAACACAAGCAGGGGGAGTGGGAGAGGGAGAAGCAGGCTTCCCGCCGAGTAGGGAGCCCGATGCGGGGCTCGATCCCAGGACCCTGGACCATGACCTGAGCCGAAGGCAGATGCTTAACGACTGAGCCACCCAGGCACCCCTAATACTTTATGGTAATAAAATATTCATCACATAAAATTTATCATTTTAACCATTTTTAAATGTATGGTTCGGTGGTGGTCAGTACGTTCACCTTGCTGTGTTCCCTCACCACCATCCATCTCCAGAGCTTTTTATCTTCCCCGAATGAAACTCTGTCCCCATGAAGCACCAACTCCCCATTCTCTCCACCCCCCAGCTCCCAGCGACCACCATTCACCCCTCTGTCTCTATGAATTTCTCTATGTTAGGTACCTCATAGAAGTGGAATCATATAACATATCTTTTTTGTCCCTTTGGATTGGCTTATTTCACTTAGCATAATGCCTTCAAGGTTCATCCATATAGTAGCCTGTGTTAGAATTTTATTCCTTTTTAAGGCTGAATCATATTCCATTGTATGTATATGCCACGTTTTGGTTATCTGTTCATCTGCTGATGGACATTTTTGCTCCCACCTTTGGCTATTGTGAATAATTGCTCATTTAATTTTAACCTTAAGCAACGGCTTGTCTTTTGCATGGGTAAGGCGGTCTACATCGCACTTGACGTGAGACTGATTGGCTGTCACTTAAAAGCATCGCTGGTCTGTCTACTCCTGCCCGTGATCTCAGTCCTAAGAACACCCTGAAGTTCATGTTGAAGAGGAAGGACCTCTCTAGAGTGATGGGACAGACGTCCACTAGTTGAGAATTGTGCTTTTTCCATTCTGACGCACCTGAGAGCTTTCCAGCAAATGCTGTGAAGAGAGAGGAGGAGGAGCTCTTGTCTGTGTCCCCATCCACAGCATGCCGTGATTTACACGCATGCACACACATATGCACGTACAACACACACGTGCGCACACTCACACGCAGCCCTCGCTGTCCCGCTGGTGTGATCATCTTTATTTTCTCAGGCAAAAGTGACCACCTGGGATGATTGTACCCAAGCGCTCACACCCCCTGTGGGTGCCGTGGAGAACTGAGTTGAAAGGAAGGGAGGGCTCAAGAGGAGACCAGCTTTCCTCCTGGGCCCAGAGGAGCTGAGTCTCTGTGGCTCCGGGGACCCTTTGTGAAGTCCCCCAGCGGCCGGGCCTTCCCCGAGAGTCAGTCAGTCAGCGTTGCTCTTGGAGAAGCCTCTCTGTAAGGACCCCTGGCTGGAATATGCCCCGCGGGGGGCTGTCGAGCAGGGGTCTGCACGCACAAGGGAGGCAGAAGTCATGTGCGCTCACCGAACATGAGCAAAGTCAACAGGGGCCTTTGTGAAGAAAGCCTATCGGGTAGCAAGCAGGACTTGCTCACAAGCCTATCCTGTGCTAACTCGTTCGAGCAGGCTCCGCTCCAACCAAACTCCAGGACAGGGGAGGCTGGGACAGTCTGAGGGGGTTGCTATGAGCTCCGACCTGCGCGTCACCCGGGAAGGGCCTGCAAGCCCAGTAGACGCATACGGCTGCAGACATGGTGGGCTCCAGTCTGGCTCATTTCAGAGACCACGCGTGGGGCAATCCCGGGGTTAACAGTGTTCTCCCGGGCTCTGGAAGTAAGACGTGCCTCCTTCTCTTGAGGGGTGTTCTGTCCAGCCTCACAGGGCGCCCTGGCTTGTTCTGCAGAGGGGAGATGCTCCCTGGGCTGCGGGGACTGAATCGGCCTCAGCTGACCCATCTCTCTTCTTTCCTCTTTTCTTCTCCCGCCATGTTTCCTGCCTGGCTTTCATCTGCATGGACCCCTCCTTCCCGTGCAGGGGAGAATCTGGGATTCTGGGAAGCCTGTGAAGATCTGAAGTACGGAGATCAGTCCAAGGTCAAGGAGAAAGCAGAGGAGATTTACAAGTGAGGACTAGCCAGATGGTTGGGAGAGCCTCCCCGTGGGCCACCCCATTGCACTGGAGTTTGAGATGGAATGGGAGGGACCACATTCCTGGTGTCAGCCTCAGTCACTGCACCTGCCATGCTATCGATAGATACCTCCCCGCTAAGGCTTGCAGCTTCCTCCCCCAGAAAGTCTGGGGAAGCACGTGATGTCACTGCCCTACTCCGACGGGAATATGCTCAGGAGTTCAAGCAAGCTGCCCTGAGTTACAGTGCGGTGCTTTGTTTTTGACTAAGCCCCCTTCGATGTCCCGAGAGGGGTGTGCATGTGTGCATGTTTGAGAGTGAGGAGAGGGACAACAGGCGGGGTAGGAACACCTCCCATCCCCAGCCATCTTAGGGAAGCGAAGACCGTAAGGGGAGGGAGCTTCCCCAAGTCTCTGGGACCGTGCACCCAGCTTGAGGTACAAATGTAGGCTCATTTCTTATTTTGCATGTAATGACTCTAGACCCCACTAACTCAGTGTAGCAGTGAGTCTGTTCCACTCCAGGCCTGCTTCTCCCCGAAATTGCCCTCTGTGTTACCCACGAACCCGAGGTTCCAGTTCAAAGGGCCAGACCTGCCTCTTCTGGCCGGGTGGGGAGGAAGGGGAGGGGTGAGGAGACCCCCAGTGCTGCTGAGCTACAGAGCTGTTGAGATGTGGGCCTGAGCATTCACCCCTTTGCACCTCTGGTGTCCTTCTGACCGACTCAGAATGGGCCACTGCAACTTTCGGGAAGGCGCCAAAAACCCCGAAGGGAAGAGCTGAGGGCTCACTCCTCATGCTTGGAGGTTCTTGCACTTTCTCAGGAATGTGCCCACCTCCTCCCACAGGGAGTGGCTGCACGCACAGAGAGAAGGCGGGGTGCAGGTGGGCTTGTCCTTCCAGGAAGGTCCTGTGACACCCATGCTCAGAACAGTCGTGCCTGACTGCCTCGCACACCACAACAAACACACACACGACTCCTAACTCCAAAGATCCCCTAGAAAAAACCCTGCTGCCTCCAACTTTCTATCAGCTTCCTTTCTCCCCAGGCTCCCCCGATATGTCATCTTCATCTGAATTCCAAAATTTTAATGAACAGTTTTGCAGTGTGGCAAAATGTTCACGGATTTCTAATCCTGAAACAAGTCAGAACGGGAAACGTTGGGGAGCCGTGCGGCTCAGTTTGCGTTTTCACTGGGGCCATCTGCAAGGATGACGCGGTCCTCCACCCCCAGGGTGCTGGGACTTTGTGCTGCCTCCTGACTCAGCGTGTGGGATTCATTTCTGACTACCTCTAGAGCACCTGGCTGGCTCTGTTGGCAGCTCTTGATCTGGGGTCAGCGAGTTTGAGCCCCACGTTGGGTGTAAAGATTACTTGAAAAAAACCCCCCAAAACCTAGACATTTCTAAATACATCTAGACTGGGCCAAGGGAGAGCAGAAGGCCTGGAACACCTGTTTGGAGGTGTCTCGGCCTGGTCCCAGGTGGGCCCCAAATCCTCCTCAATGAGGCAGAAGGCATTAAGTTGGAAATTGGATTCTTTATTCTAATGGCTGGTGTTGCCCCACCAACATTCTGCTCCCTCTCCTACGGGTTAGGAACACCAGAGTTCGGTATTCACCTTCTGAAAACTGGCACGACTGTTGTCTTGCTTCTACGAAATGTCGCTTGACAACCTGTTCAGACTCTTCAGTGTCTCCTAAAAAAAAGGCCAGCTTTCATTCCCGGGGACCCGCCTCATTCCGGGTGACCTGAGTCACGGCGATCCCTCCCTCCCAGGCAGCCGTGAACTTTCATTAGCCAGCTCGGTCGAGCAGCTGGCTGACATTTTGCTCCCCGCTCCAGGCTCTTCTTGGCCCCAGGGGCGAGACGGTGGATAAACATAGATGGCAAAACCATGGACATCACTGTCAAGGGGCTGCGGCATCCCCACCGTTACGTGCTGGATGCAGCGCAAACGCACATCTACATGCTCATGAAGAAGGTAGGTGGGCTCTGCGTGGACGCTGGTCTGGGGCCAGGAGGCCCTTCCCTTCTCAGGGACCTGGAAAAGTCTTTAGATATGGGAACACAGGGAGATGCTGTGTGGCTTCTGCTTTGCTAGTGTTGGGGTGCAGGATTGTCAGTGGGCTCTTCCCCACAACCACTGGTCTGGAACCTCCCTGGGCCTCCGGCCTCGGCGGCTGGGGTGGGGGCGGGGACCACTGACAGTTGCTCTGTGTGTCCTTAGGGGCTGTCACCCGGCCATAGTGGTCCATGTACCCCTGTCATTGGTAATGAGATGTTGCTGGAATAGCTCTTATTTCCCGAGGGCTTGGGAGTGGTAGTCATGGTGCAAAGCATGGGACTTTGTATCAAGGACCACCCATGGGACAGGACTTGCTTCTCCAGAGTCTAGTTTGTCCAGAGTCTCCTCGGGGGTGGAGTCGAGGGTCAAACTGTGTCTTCCTGCCTCCGAAGGCTGACCTCTTAGTCTCTACCCTTGAATTGTGAATGGTGGCAGTTCCGGTGGCCCCAGCCCGAAGGAAATATCACAGGTTGGGGGTGGGGGTGGGGCGTTTAGTATGTGAAAGAGACAAATATGGTGTGATTATGGTAAAACCGAGCAGGGATTCAGGGAGCCTTTCTGGGTTATTAATAAAAAGTGAACATGGTGGGAAGTTTTAGGAAATTGTTAAAAAAAACCCCAAAACCTGAGACAAAAATCAGTCTCTTTCTTAAGAAACAGAATTTGGGGCTCAGCCTTGGCCTAAGGAGGTTGCCTAGTTTGGTTCTTATTTGGTGTCATAATAAGACTTTGTTCAGGGGGTGCCTGGGTGGCTCAGTCGATTGGGCAACTGACTCTTGATTTTGGCTCATGTCAGGACCTCAGGGTCATGGGATCGGGCCCCCACAGGGAGTTCTGCGCTCAGCGGGGAATCGGTTTGGGATTCTCTCTTTCCCTCTTCCTCTGCCCCTCCTCCTGCTCACACTCTCTTTTTCTCTCTCAAATAAATAAATCTTAAAGAAAGAAATAAGACTTTCTTCAGTTGCTTTAACTTCGCATTACTACTTATTCCTCTTATGGTAAACTATCTCTAGAAACTTTCATTATGTGATGACGGTTTGTTTGAGTGGCAAATTTTTATTAGCATCCCTTAATTATATATTTTTTATTTAGTTTTGATATATACTGTGTTATAAAGAAATATTTTTACTTTGCTTCTAAGATATGTAATAGTTTAGAATTTTCACCCAGTCAGATTAGCCACTTTTCTCCACTTGCTTTCCATCAGTGGGGTTTCTCTGTTTGCCTTGCAAGAAGATTCACAGGAAGGTTCCCATAATAATGGTCTTCCTTCGGGTATTTTAACATACGTTTTGATTCTTAAAAATGTGGTTTTATACAAGCGTCCACAGAGACACCCAGGGAAGCCAGATACTTGGCAGAATGAAATGGAGTCGTGGGTAACTTAAGAACAGTGTATATGCTTAGCAGACTCTGTGTGGCTATAGGCTGTAAACTGGCAATAAACTCAATGTGACCCAGTGATCCATAATCCCCACTCCCAGACTCTGTCCTGGTTCTCATAACTTTTAGCCACCACTTAGTCTTTAGAATGGGACTGTTTCAATAAACTTAAAAAACTCTCAGTCCCTGGGTTGTTACTGTGGACATTGTCCCATATTTGTTAGAACGAGAGTTTTGAGTTGACTTGGAAGTGACAAGCATTCATGAAGTGACTTCTCTGAACCTGCCCAACGTCCCAGGAAAGATCCACACAAGAGAAACCTGACTCTGGGTCTTTTTTTTTTTTTTTTTTTAATTCTCTTGCTTTGATACCTAAATTCAGGGCAAAAAAGGGGATGTTTGTGGGCTTCGAAGTGGGTTCCATGCTCATGGCAGCTCATTTTTTTTTTGGAAGGAGGTACTGGGATGGGGGGCGAGGTGAGATACAGGTGTCCTGTCATCTCCTGCTTACCCACGGAAGACCTCCAAGGTGGATTTTAGTGTGGGGGATTATGGATCACAGTGTAGCCAAAGTACCGCAGAATCCACAGGAGGCTTGTGAAGACTCCGATGGTCCCAACCTGGGATTTTCTGATTTCGGAGGCCTGGGTGAGCCTGAAGACGTGCACTTCTAACAATTTGCCAGTGAATTTGACGCTCCCGATCCGGGGACCACACTGGAGAACTGTTGCTTTAGACACACATCTGAATGCCTTTCACACAAGGATACGGATTCCCTGAACTTTGCCATCTCGGTGCCCAGGGAGGACTCGAACACTAGAAGCATAGTAGTTTGACTTGACTCTTCCCCTCTCTTAATTACCATTTCTCTCTTGTTCCCCCTAGGATTCTTATGCTCGCTACTTAAAATCTCCAATCTATAAGGAAATGCTGGCCAAAGCTATTGAACCTCAGGGAACTACCAAGAGAAGGCAAGTGGAGAGACCTATAATTTGCTGGTTGCCTGCCGCTTTGTTTACAGGGAAGGGAGGGTCTTTTTCAGCCAAATAGCCATGATGGAGATGTGTGCTTGACAGAAATCCTGGGGACCAGGAAGGATTTCTTAGGGGTAGGATTGCCTTGTTGGCTTCATAATACCCTAGCAAGATTTCCTTAGTAATTACTGCGAGTAAAGTAAAGTGACCCTGACATGGATTTGAAAAAGTGCTGATTATCCCACCGATCGTGACCCCAGCGCAAACAGAAGCATCTCACTGGTTTGTTAATTGCTGCACTTCCTCACCTTGGAACTGCTCTGTGAGAATTAAGTTAGCCACATCCTTGTATCCTTGGAAAGTCCTAAGACCTTAGCGAGCATAGCAGACTCCACTCCCAAGAAAAACAGCCGACTCATGGGGGAGATGAACACTGACATCCTAAGTGTGACCCCAGGGACCACCTTTTAGTGAGTCCCCCGTTAACTGGCTCATGCTCACCTTCCTCATTGGAGATGTGGATCGTCCCAGCTGGCCGAACCCATGGGCAAAGGATGAAATGTTCTGAGGGGCAGTCAGAACTCTTTTCTGGGGAGGAAAGAGAAAACTCTATAGGGACTGAGGATTCCAAAGAGGAACCAAATGACAGCTTGAACAAAGACATGGGACTTTGGTGGAGGTTTTCCCAGCGCCAGCGTGTGGCCTGTCCCCCCATGGTTAGTAAATGCTGCCCTGTTTGCCAGCTCAGCTCATGCTGGGCCCTTTTCCAGCATCGCCGGTCAATTCAAAAGAGGGGTGATTGGACCGGAGCTTTTATCAAAGGAGCTTAAAAAAAACAAACCCAACTTGGTTTCATTCTTGAGGATAAAGGCACTGTTATAAAAAGGAGAGAAAGGAGGTCTCTGTGGTGCTATTTTTCTTCTAGGTTTACCAGGGAAGGAAGGGAGTTCAGCATCCCTGGGAGCTTGAAAGCTTCTCCTTTAAGCCCCAAGAAAGGGGCATAATCGCTCCAGAAGTTCTGCCAGAAAGTATTAGGGAAGGAAGGAGAGTCTCGTATTTCTCTCTCCAGATATTTTCTCAGTTGGGGCAGACCTGAGAAATCAGCTGGGATCTTTTCTGGAGCACCCCGGGTGCCTGGCGAGAGGCCCCAGCTGCACCACTTGGCTTTGGTTGGGGAACTGTGGTCTGAGAATATCCCTGTGAGTAAGAAGACACGTGGGAATGCTCTCCTACTGAGGGAAGCTCAGCCTGTAAATATGTGGGGATGGCAGTGGGTGTGAGTTTGTCCCAAGGCTCAAGGGTGGCAGGCAACATGTGAACCTTAATTTCTCTGGAACAAGTTAAATTGAGCTCCAAGCTCCCCCTTGGCAGGGCTGGTGGGAGACCCAAGTTCAGGCCTGATTTACTGGTGGGGAGCCCTCTTCTTCTTCTTCTTCCCTAGGGTAGATCCAAGAATTCTCTGGGCTTTTATAGTCCAGGGCTTTGGGGAGGTCCTAGGTTTTAAGTCCCCCATTGCTGCTGAAATGCTTGTTTTCCAGGCATGTGGGTGGCTCAGCTGCTGCCCATTGCCTGCATCAGTCAGACACCCGGAGCTTTGTCCTGGTGCACAAGGCCGTGGTGGACAGAGGTGGGTCCCAAGAGCCCATGTTTGACTTCTTTTGAGGTTCTGACTCATCTGGTGCATGCACCCAGCACCACCAGCCCCCCAGCCCTCTCCAGGCCTCTTCCCCCTTTCTCTGTGGGCCCCGCCTCGCCCTCTTGGACCGCCCAGCTCTCTCCCTCCTTCCTAGATCCTTGGCTTTTGAAAACAAATGCTCCAGCTCCCCCTGAGGCCAGAACCCTTGGGCTTCCAGTATCAAACTCCCCTTGCCCCCTTCTTTCAGGAAGAGCCCATGGGAGGTTAAGCTGACACATTGATTTCTAAACATTCTAGAAGGTATGTTATTGCCACCACAGGCAGTCCTCCTTGGGCCTAGCCAGAAATGTGATGGCAGCTGGTACTCATCTGGCCCATCCTCCAACGGAGGAGAAAGAGCTAAGGTTGAACATGCCCCTGAGGTCCCCCCCACCCTTGGGGCTCACTGGGAAAATGAGGGAACAAGCCCAGATTCTGGTCCTGCAGCTCCGTGTCCCACTAGGGGCTACCGTGTCCCTGCTGGGCGAGCTGGGCAGCTTTCCACCAACCGCGGCCCTGTCCTTCCTTCCAGCTCCAGCCTCCCGTTTATGCGGCGCCACCTACGCTCCAGCCCGAGCCCCGTCATCCTGAGGCAGCTGGAAGAAGAAGCCAAGGCTCGAGAAGCTGCCAGCACAGTGGACATCACCCAGGTCATGAGCAAGCTGGACCGTAGGAGCCAACTCAAAAGAGAACTACCTCCTAAATAAATCTGCAGTTCCTGGGGGTGGGGGTGTGCATTTGGGAGAGACGAGCAGAGAAAGGCAGGGTCGGTCGGAGTCTAGAGGATGCGATTTCCCGTTAGTGGGGCAACCAGGTTCATCCCATATTCCCCTGACCTCCTTCATGGTGGATTTCCCAATGCCTCGGCAACTAGAGCTCATTCTCCCGCTCCGGCTCACCAAGGGACAGGGTCGGCAGTGGTGGGGGGAGGTCACCTGACTCAGTGGCTGTGTGACCGCCTCTCTCACTGTGGGGGTTCTTGTAGCGGGAGCATAGAGAAAACAGGCTGCTTTGTGTGCCACCATTTGCTTTAGAGAATGAATGAGAAGGTCCCCCTCCTCCCTCAAGTCATCGTTCTTTCAGGTACATCAGTTTCAAATAGTTTAATGAAGCTCCAAACACCACCTCTCCAACTGAGACTCTGCTTCTAAAGCAGTCTGGGATCCCTCCGAGGGACTAGCTGCAGGGTCCCCTAGAGATGCACGTCCCCTGGACTCCCCTGTTATACCTTCATGGAGAGGCCCTGCTAAGACGTTGCTGGTAAGCTTGTTCTTGGTCACAGTTATGGAGAGTCCTTCCCTTTTGTCTCCCCATCCCCCGATACCTGCTAGGGGAATATGTAGCTGGTAGGGATGAAGAACTCAGGCCGGAAGCCTCCAGGGCAGTCAAGGGGAAGTGACCTTCTGAGGAGCATCAGTTTGGATAAAGGAAAGGCACTGATGTCTTCATTCATGGGAAGAGAGAGGGTAGATACCGGACCTTTTCAAGATGAGTTACAGTCAAAGATAATACTCTTTCAGATATTTTCTAGATGTTGGTGCATCCTTCCTGTGTAGCTGTAGCCTAGGTCAGCCCTGTGGTCAGTGTGGAGGGAGAGGACAGTTCCAACTCTGACCATGAGAGGACTACAAGATAATTCTTGAAGTTAGCCTCACCTCATAACACCTGTGTAAGAACACAAAGGAGCTAGAACAAGTCAGCGAGCAAGGGACCAACACAGCACAGCAAAAAGACACATATACTGAGTATCCACTATGCACCAGGCATTGGTAAATACAGTGGACATGGTCTCCATCTCACGGAGCTTATAGACCAGGACTGACAAACAATAATGAAGCCGACCATATCAGTACCTTTGCTGACAACCACAAAGCTAGAGCGGCATACAATAATCAGTATTTATTGCTCATGGCTTTAGGGTCATCTGTTTGGCTCTGTTGATCTTGGAGGTCACTCCCCTGCCTGGGGGCTCGATCTGTGGGAACCCGAGCTGGGATGAGTGGAATGATTCTTCTCTGCTTCTCATGTCTCCCGTCCTCCAACAGCTTGGCCTCGGCATGATCTATGGTGGTGGTGGAATTGCAAAGGAGTGAGTGGAAATGCGTAAGAGTCTTGAGGTGTAGGCTTCAAACCAGTGCGTGGTCTTCTACCTCATGTTCTTGGCCAAATCAGGTTACAAAGCCAGCCTAGAATCAAGGGGTGAGGAAATAGACTCTGTCTCTTTAGTGAGAGAAATTTTAAAGTCTTGTTGCAAAAGATGTGGCGAGAGGAAGGGATAAAGAATCAGGGCCATGGTTGTAATCGACAACCCAAAGATGTGGTAAAACCTGTACCAGGTGTTAGAAAGAAATGGATATGGTGCCATGATAGGGAAGAGGGGGGTTGCGTCCGCTAGGGAGGCCTCTCTTAGTGACAGATAAGAGGATGAGAAAAAGTGGGCCATACAAAGCATGTGGGCAGGCAGGGAAAACTTTCCAGGCAGAGGGAACTGCAGGAGTAAAGGCCCACTGGGGGAAGCGGCTTCGAGTGAACTGTAGGGCCAGGCGAATGGAGCCTCGTGGGCGCAGGAGAAATGGTTCAGCATGAGCTTAGAGAGGTGGGCAAGGCCAGGTCATTGGGGACTTTTTAGGTCATTGTAAGGAGTTTGTGGCTCTTGGTTTTGTGTTAGCAAAATGATCCCATTACTCTCTCCATTTTCCCTAGTTGTAGACTAGCTTATACTCTGGAAGGGCAACCAGAGGTATGCTTTGGTCATCTTTCTTTTAAAGAATGTCGGAGTCTTCCAACTTAGGGAGTAGAAATTTTTGTTAATGGCCATTATATATTGAGTGACATGAGGTGGGGCCATGTCTCATCGCTTGGAGCCTAATGCCTGAGGCCTGCCGGGTTCTGCAGAAACATGTCTCACGTGAATGAATGGAAGAAGGAAGGGAGGGAGGAAGGAAGGGAAAGAGCCGTGGGTTTGGAGACAGCCTCTCAGTCTCCAGTTCTACCACTAGCTGTGTGGTCTTGAACAAGTCACTTATTGTCTCTGCTTCCTGATTCGTGAAGTGAGGGGTTGGGACCAGATTCTTGCTTCTTGAAACAGACTTTGTGAGTTCCAGGAGGGTACCCAGCCTGGGGCCTCCATTTTACTTGAAGATTTGGAATGGGATGAAACAGGTAATTTTCAATTTTTGCATTAAAATAATCATGACTATATTATGAATTAGAATGCAACATGGACATGAATTTTTTAAGATAAAAATTGAGACATCAATGACATTTCATGCTTGTCTGTGGCAGGTTTAGGCTTTGTCCTCAGACTCCTGGGGAGGATGTTTACCTGGCTCTCCTCCTGTGTGTCCTACTTTCCTGGGGAAGCTGGAGAAGCATGAAATCAGAGAGATATATTCACTACCCCTTCTAGTTACCCCCCATGAGCTGAGATCACATGCCCGGCACAACGGTGGTGGGGATGGTGGGGTGTCAAAGGCATCGTGAATTCTTCACGTTACAAACTATGTCGTGTTCATCTTTGACTCAACCATTCGCCATCCCACTCCCCACATGTAAGATGTGTTTGCCTGACAGGTCTCCCATCCTTCAGCTGACTACCAAAGGCTCTGTATCAGGCACATGGTAGGGACACCACACATATCCATGGAAACCTTCTCAGTGTCAGACACACAATGATCCCACCGTCTAATGAGAGGCACAGGCATGTAACTAAAGTTGGTTATCATGCTTATGGGATAAATGTATAAATAGTATTGTGACACTGCCCATCTGAAGGAAGGCAGGAGATAAAGGGCTTCACTCCTGGATGGCAACAGTTCCGTCCCATGAGTGTTTCCTAAACACCTATTCTATGTAAGAACCAGCGAAGGGTCCTATGGCAGATACAAAAATGGATGAGAGGTTCTCCGCCCTTGAGGGGCTCACAGGGGTGTGTGGATACAGATGGCTGCAGCTGAAGCAGAATGGGATCGAGGCTGGGGTGGCATACCACACCCCAGGAGAGCACAGAGATGGGAGAGGATCGTCTGTCTGGCCTGGAGGACTGGGGGAGACTCCACCAGGACGTTCTCATGTTGGGTCGTAAAGGAGCCACAGGGCCCTACCCAGTTTTGAGGCTTCCTAAGAGTGTCTCCTGCGGCTCTCAACAGAAACTTTGTTTCTGTTGGCAGACATAACAGCAGCCCCGGGAGGTCTGTTTGAATCTCACATAGCCTCAGAAGTAGTATTTGTTTGGACACTATTATTGATATATTTAAATGATTATGATATTCTGTGTTATCTGTGTACTTAGGCACCATCTTAATTCCTTAATGCCATATTTTAAAGATTTTATTTATTTATTTGACAGAGACAGAGATAGCGAGAGCGGGAACACAAGCAGGGGGAGTGGGAGAGGGAGAAGCAGGCTTCCCCCCAAGGAGGGAGCCCGATGTGGGACTCGATCCCAGGACCCTGGGATCATGACCTGAGCCGAAGGCAGACGCTTAACGACTGAGCCACCCAGGTGCCCCTAATGCCATATTTTAAATAGCTTGAGTTTCTCTACCCATCGTGGTGTATATCTTATGCTAGAATATAAACTATGGGGTAAAGTACCAGGATTTTCTTTGTAGAATTGCATTTTCAAGCTTGATTTTTAGAGCGAGGACTGTTCTTCTTGTGAGGGTTGTGGTAATACAATGGGTAGGGACAGTAGGTAGAATACATCAGATAATGCCTGGCATATAATAAGTGCTCAATAAATGCTAGCTGCTGTTATCAGTGTCACAACCATTATCACTGTCACCATCATCATCCTCCTCACCATCCTTCTCCTCACATCACTGTCATCATCACCACCATCATCACCATCACCACTGCCATCATGACCATCACAGTTATCACCACCATAAGCATCACCACCATCACTACCATCATCATCACCACCATCACCATCATTAACACCATCACCACCGTCATCACCACCATCACCACCATCATCACCACCATCACCATCATCATCACCACCATCACCACTATCACCATCACCACCATCACCACCATCACTACCATCATCATCACTACCATCACCATCATCATCATCACCACCATCACCACTATCACCATCACCACCATCACCACCATCACTACCATCATCATCACCACCATCACCATCAACACCATCACCACCGTCATCACCACCATCACCACCATCATCACCACTATCACCATCATCATCACCACCACCATCACCACCATAACCATCATCATCACCACCATCACCACCATCACCATCACCACCATCACCACCATCACTACCATCATCATCACCACCATCACCATCATCAACACCATCACCACCGTCATCACCACCATCACCACCATCATCACCACTATCACCATCACCACCACCTCTACCCCCATCATCACCACCATAACCATCATCATCATCACTACCATCGTCACCACCATCATCACCACCATCACCATCATCATCATCACCACCATCACCATCATCAACACCATCACCACTGTCATCACCACCATCACCACCATCATCACCACTATCACCATCATCACTATCACCATCATCATCACCACCACCATCACCACCATCACCACCATCACTACCATCACCATCACCACCATCACCACCATCACTACCATCATCATCACCATCACCACCATCATCAACACCATCACCACTGTCATCACCACCATCACCATCATCATCACCACTATCACCATCATCATTACCACCATAACCATCATCATCACCACCATCACCATCACCACCACCACCATCTCCACCACCACCATCACCATCATCATCACCACTACCGTCACCACCACCCTTAGTAGCATATGGTCTCAGAGTAAGCTTGGGCTTTCTTGCATCTGTCAGTGCGGTCCCTTACAGTGATTCATTATTCTTTGTTATTTAGGGCATTTCCTGAGGTGTGTTTACAACTTTGTTTCCCTAAACCATTTTACTTCTCTCCTCTCTCAGAGTCTTGCAGTTTGGCTCTCCCTGCTCTCCAGCGGCCATTAGGAGATATTTGAAGGGAGGAGAGTGGGCATTGATGTCATGTCCTCTGTCTATGAAAGGCTGACCAGCAACAGTGCGGTTACTGGTCCGTCCTTTGGTTCCAAGCTTCATGGCTACAGTAAGGGAAGGTCTTGTGCTGGGCTGAGATGGTAGGTAGGAAGAATGATGTGTTCACACCTGTGGATTTTTCTCCAGGGAGCCCACTTTGCTTATTGGCTTTTGGAGGCAGTGGGGAAAGGGAGAGCGAGGAGGGACCAGAGGGGGCGCCGCGAACACTGCATGCTGAACCTGAGTGTGGCTCACAGGACGCGGGAGCCCAGGTGGCCACGAGGTCTCCCTCAAATTCTCAGCCAGTTTCTAGGCAGAAAATGAATCGCATCTCTTTGCACCGCCTGCTTTGCCTTCCATCGAAAAGCCTGTGATCGTGTTCTCGTGTCAGCGTACCCACTCCATTTCACGCTCCTCTCCCCCTTCTGCTGGCTCCTTGCATAATAAAACAGCAGCACAAGACAAAACAAACCGAGCTCTCAGAGCTTCACTGTGTCTCTGCGTGTCACGTTTCTTTGCCACGTGCCTTGCATGCCGCTGCTTTGCTGCCTCCCACCCGTGGTGGGTGTGGCATGGGCTGGAGGGGCGGGGCTAGGTCTCTGGGGGAAGGGCCGGAGTCATGGTGGGATGGGCGCAAAAAGGAGTCCTGCTTCAAGTGACAGGGGCCAATGGGGCTAATAACTACTTGCCCAGGAGAAAGGACCTTCTCGGGCCAGGTAAGTCAAGCAGGACAGTGGCTACGTCCTCACCTGTCCTGTCATTCATCCAGGAAAAGAAAGTGCTGAGGGAGGTGTGGGATGAGGAGGAGGGCACAGACTTGGGGTGGAGGGAGGTAAATGGAATGGCCCATCCTGTCATAAACTGTACGATCTTGGTCAAGTTGTCATCTCCATGAGCCTCAGTTTTCTTATCTGTAAAGTGGGGGTGATAACGAGTTCATCACAGATTCTGAGAAAGTGGGATTTAAGGTAATGAACCGGAGGTGGGGTGTCCTCAATTTATTGCCACTCTATCTCTCTTAACAAGTCTGTCTCCTAGTTTTGGTGTTTCAGCCCACTCTGCAGGACCCCAGGTCCTATCTGAGTCCCACAGGCAATGGGATGGCCATATGGATCAGTAGATAGAGCAGGGGCTCTGGGGTTACACACTCCTGGGATCGAATTCTCATTTAGTTGCTGTGTTAGTTATCTATTGCTGTGTAACAAAGTAGCACGGACCCAGCTGTTAATCAGCTCACAGTTGGCCAAGTGAGGCTGGGCTGGGTCCTCTGCTCATGGTCTCACACTCAAGGTCATGCCTGGCTGTCATGTTCCTATCTGGGGGCTCTTGGGAAGAGTCTGTTCCAAGCTCATTGAGATTGTTGGTGAGATTCAGTGTCTCATTGTAGGATTGAAGGCCCCTGGTTTTTTTTGCTGTTAGCTGACGGCTGTACTCAGCTCCTAGAAACTTCCACAGTCCCTCTCCAGGTGTCCCCCTTCCACCTTCAAAGCCAATAACAGAGAATTTCTCCTTCATTGAATTCCTGTCGTGCTTCCAACCTCTCTGACGTCTGTCTCTGGCCTCTAGACTCAGATCTGAAGGGTTCATGTGGTGAGGTCAGGCTCGCTCAGATGATCCTTTCTTAATGTCACCAATGCCATAGCACGTAGCCTGGCCACGGAACGGCTGTCATGTGACATTTACAGTTCACACCAACCCTGGCAGACAGGGGCAGAATGTAGGGGCCACGTAGCAGTCTACATACCACAGTCCCTGGTGGTTGTGGGAGCCTCGGGAGGGCGATGAACCCCTCTGGGCCTCAAATTTCTGTTCTCTAAAATGGGGGAGTTACAGATACAGATTACCTAGCACATAGTAGATGCTTAATAAGTGATAGGGTCATACTCTTTTCACCTCACCGTTGTCTCCTGAACCCTTAATTAGAGCAAGCTTTCCCCTTTGTTGTTGTTCTTTTTAAAAAAAAAAAAAATTATTTTAGAGAGCGAGTGAGAGAGTATGTGAGCAGGGGGAGGGACAGAAGCAGAGGGAGAAGCAGCCTCCCCACCGAGCAGGGAGCTCCATGTAGGGCTTGATCCCAGGACCCTGAGATCACAACCTGAGGGGAAGCCAGGAATTGGACACTCAAACCGAATGTGCCACCCGGGCACCCCTCCACTTTATTGTCATTCTTGTCTGCAAACTGTGTCCTAAGTGGAGACCCTTGTCCCCATAGAAGGGCAGTGTTAGAAGCACAGTGCAGGGCTCCTCAAACTCACTGGGCATGATAACAAAACCGTGACCTTGGGTGTCTGGTAGAAGATGCTTTCCCTTAGTTGTACCCCCTGAGAGTCTCCTTCAGTGGGTCTGGCTGGGGCCGGGATCTGCACTTGCAGCAGACCCCCGGGGTGATTCTGAGGTGGGCTGATACGCAGGCCCCCCTTGGGACGTGCGACTCGCTGTTACACGTGCGAACTCTGCAGCCCATGAGCCTGGTTTCCAAGCCTGTCCCCAATGGCCTGTCCTTGGAGCTCGCTTTCGAAGCATTAGTTTTCTCATCTGTAAAATGGGCATAATGAGAGTTGGTCACCTCACCGACTGGCTGCAGGAAGGAAGTGCAATGATCCATGAAAAGTGCTCAGCCCAGAACCTCGTATTTGCTAATTCTCACTGCATATGAACAATGCCAGTTACATGAGTTTGTTCGCCCTGGGGCCCCAGGTCTGGGCCTTGGCTCTGGTTGGTTGGCCTGTGGGTGTCGGATCAGAGGAACAGAATCAGCGACTCCCAGCTGCTGTTCCAGGATGGAATGGAGCTGGAGCTTCAGGGAGCTGGTGGGGGAGAATGGAGATCGACCCCCTGCCCCGCCCCGTAGCAAAGACTTCTGTGGCCTCCTGGCTTTTCTTTTCCTCCAAAGACTGTCCTTGGCTATGCCTGCCCTTTCCTCTTCGGGTTGGGATCGGCTCACTCAGGTGACCTGGAAATCAGGCCACACCCCAAGGAAGCCAGCAGCCTCCAGTTCAGCGCCTGGAGCTGCCCTTTTGGGGCCCTGGGGCAGTGCTCCGGCCCCCGGGGCAGGCAGGCTTCTCTAAGCGGGGCGTCTGTGTGGCCGTGCCAGGTTCCAAGAGGGTTTGTTGTTCACTGAAGTCAGAGGCAGTGTCGGCCCAACTGTCCCAGAGGGTGCCCCTTCCCCGCCAGGACCAGCACACCCTCTAGCGTGGCCTTCAGGAGGGGGCCCGACAAACTGCGCTGATGGGCCCTTGGAGGCCCATCTGTGGAGGAAAGAGAAGGGACAGCAGAGAGCCTCCCTGAAAATTCCAGTTTTAACTTTGTCAGCTCAGACAAAGCTCTTTTGGGCGTCTTTGCAGGAAAACTGCCTGGCCCAGGATTCCCGCCTCCCTGCTCCTTGACTTCGGGGCTGCAGGAGGCCAGGGAGGTTGAGAGTCTTTCCTTTTTCTGCTGACATGTCCAGGCTCCACATTCAGGCTTTCTTTGCGGCCACGCTGCTCTGCTGCAGGAGGCATGCACCAGTGCCAGGGCTGGACCATTCCCAAGGGATGGCCAGTGGGACATGAGCCGGGCCTCAGGACCAGGCAGGTGGTCTCAAGCCTGGCAGAGTCAGCGGGGCACACGAGGGTCTTCTGGTATCACCTCCACTGCTCTGTTACACATGTCTAGATGCCTCCAGTCCTCAGGCTGGGAGCCAGGGATAGAGGAGGGATGACATGGCATGTGGTGGGTCCTAAGCATCGTTCGCTGGGGGACGGGAGTTGAGGGGCAATTGGAAATCCAGCCTGGCCACGCCCCAGCACTCCAGGCCCAGAGGAAGGTCAGTCTGGGATGCAACTGCCCAGCTCTGGGCACCGTGGCCAGGGCTCGGGGACCGGCAGGCCCCTTGGCAGGAGGCCTGTGTGTGGCTGTGCCATTTGGGCTAAGTTAGCAGAGGGCCCCGTCCATCAGCCCACACCACTCACTCTGAGCTCTCTCTTTCCTTTCCTGCAGCCGGGCCAGCACACTGCTCCCAGCCCTCACCTGGCCGTGTACACCGGGACCTGCGTGCCCCCCTCTCCTTCCAGCCCCTTCTCCCCGTCCTGCCGCTCCCCCAGGAGGCCCTTCCCCTCACCGGGCCGCTTCATCCGGAGGCCCAGCAGCGCCATCTGCCCCTCGCCCATTAGGGTGGCCTCGGAGAGCTCTGAGCAGAAGGGGGAGGCCAGCGGATCCAGTGCCTGCCCGGGGCCCTCCGACACTGACAGGAGCGAGGTCTCGGCCGCCGAGCACCCCTGGCCCCGGCCCCAGCCCAAGGCCCTGCCCAAGGCCCGCATGGCTCTGTCCTTCAGCAGGTTTCTGAGACGGGGCTGTTTAGCTTCCCCCGTCTTTGCCAGGCTCTCGCCCAAGTGCCCCCCTGTGTCCCACGGGAAGGTGCAGCCCCTGGGGGATGTGGGCCAGCAGCTGCCACGACTGAAATCCAGGAGAGTAGCGAAGTAAGAAGCAGAAGGGATTGTGCTGTGTGTGTGCACATATGTCCTGTGTATGCATGTGTGCACATGTCTGTGGGTGTGCACGCACGTTTCTGTGTGAGCATGCACGTGTGCACATTTGCCTGTGTGTGTATGTGTGTGTGCACATATATCGGTGGGCACGTGAGCGTGCATGTGTGTGCATGTATGTCTGTGGTGGGTACCGGGGCTGTGTGGCTTGAACATGGGGGCTGGGGGCTGGTGGGTTGGGTAATGAGGATTCTAGGCTAGCAGACACGAAAGCAGGCTACTTAGCCTCTGGATAGTTTCCTCCCCCTGGAGGCGTTGTCCTCCCCTGCTTCCTGAGAAAGAAAAGGAACCTGTGTCTTTCTTTTCCATCTTGTTCCCCCTTCTGTGCCGCCCCCACCCTGCCTCATCCCCGGAACGTTAGTCTAATGAACCCATTGCACCTTTAAAGGGCAGGAAGTCAGTGGCGGCCGTGGGAACCATAGGGGGTGGGGGCTCCAGTCCCCTCCCTGTCTGAGGTGCCCTCGCCTCGCCACCCCCACCCCTGCATCCACCGATGGCCAATTCCTACCCTTCCTCCTGACCTTCCCTCCCTTGGGCAGAAGAAAGGCATGTGGACCAGATGACTCCCAGAGGGGCTCGCAGGGATCCCTGCTTCTACAGTCGTTCCTGTGAAAACCACAGTACCCAGTCTTTTCTGACAGGTGGCCCTTTCGGCTCCATTTTGGGTGGTGCCACAAGCCTGATTTCTGAGAACCCCAAGTGCCCTGAGGCACCTTACCGGATGCAGAACTCTCTGAGGGGCGCGATAGCTCCCGGACCAGTGGGAGAAAGGAAAGTTGTAAGCAATGCAAAACCAAGAATCAGCCCCCACCTTTATTTGGTTTTGGGGAGACAGTCAGGGGTATCCCTGCACCAGGGAAACTGCTCCTGTGTTTGGCCTTGCCTGGTGTGAGGAAGGAACGCTCCCTGCAGAGGTCTCAGGTTGCCATGGATACCTGAGTATCCCTGGCCTCTGCCTCGCAGTGTGCTTAGGGGACAGCAGGGGGCAGAGGTGATTACTTCTCTGCTGCCTCTGTCAGTCGGGGCAGGAGGAAGGCGGGTGAGGATCGAGGGTGAGCCTGTCTATCGATTCTTCCCAACTAACCCTGCTCAAGGAATGTTCTAGCTTTGCTATGCCACACACACGGGCTTGGGGCTTTTAAGAGGCTCTTTGCTCAGGGGCTACCTCTTCATCAGAAGACAATCTAACTAGATTGAGGATTAAGTGCAGGCACCAAAACCATAAAAATTCAAGCCCCTCAAAAATGAAGATAAAGGATCTTTTGACTCAGCCTTAATTCAGCAGAAAAATATGAGTCCCTCGCTACTGCCAGTTACAGAGATCCACTGAGCCATTTGCTGCACACAAAGCTTTTGGCAAATCCACCTGCGAGTCACCCTTCTCTGGGGATGTCAGGGTAAGGTGAGGATTTGGTGTCCTTCCTGTCCCTATGCACTTGCTTTCCTTTTGTGCCTGAAGCTTTTTCCAGATCAAGATGGATGTGCCTACGCAGAGTGGGACCTGCCTGATGGACTCAGAGGACGCCGGGACAGGAGAATCGGGTGACCAGGCCATAGAAAAGGAGGTCATCTGCCCCTGGGAGAACCTGGCCGAGGCGAAAGCTAGCTGAGCCAGGGGCCCTGGACCAAGAAGACTCTCCTGGCAGACTCTGCCAGAGGGGACCATGGGCATGCTTGCTCTCGAACCAAAGGCCATTACGATCACATCTGGGGGCCAGAGAGACAAGATGGGATGGATTATGGGGAGGTGTGCGCTGGCTGGGGTCCCGATGGCCAATTCCTACCCCTTCCTCCTGACCTTCCCTCCCTTGGGCAGAAGAAAGGCATGTGGACCAGATGACTTTACTTGCTGCCTTAAAACCGATAAAAGGTTAACTTGTAAGAGTCTTTTGGATTGGAATGTTAGGTGTGTCTGGTTTTATTAGTTAGGAGCTGTTACTTATGAGTTTATGTGTTAAACTCATTTCTTCTTTGGTTTTAGGGACAAAGGGACACTGAGTCACTTTCAAGAACTCCCTCCCTGTCTAAATTGGTTTGTGCATGTCACTTTTATCAACGGAGCTCCCCAGAGTGTGGCACCATTCAGGAAGGGGGTGCTGGGGAAAAGCATCTTTCTAGAATGCCAGGTGTGTTGTTCGGATCCACCAAGAAGTAGAAACAAGATGGGATTAGATGGGCAAGGGATTTTTTGGGGGAAACACCTATGAAGGATAAAGAGTGGGAGCTAGAGAAGAAGAGGGTGAGGGCCTTTGGACCATGTGCAGGGCTGGCCTCTGGGGAAGGAGGAGCGGGTAGGGAGAGTCTCAGATGGCAGTGTAGTTCCAAGAAAGTTTTGGCCACGCCACTGGGGTGTCCCTGAGGCAAAGTCACATTGGAGGGGTCCTATGTCTGGCAGGAATGGTTCTGCCTTAAGATCTCCACATGCAAGGTCAGTGGATGGTGACCCCGGGGAGATGCTTGGCCCTGGCACGGACATACTGGTGGCCCTCGGTCCATATGCTCCCTGCGGCAGGAGACCTGAGCATGCATGTTCCTGTCGGCTGCATGTAATCCAGTAGGCTCCCCTGGAGGTGGTGCCCCCACCCTCTTCTCCCAGTCATTACTCAACAAGTATTTGTTGAACACCCACTATGTGCCAGGCACTGTGCTAGGCCTTGGGGTTGCAACTGTGGGTAAGACTCCTGGCCTCCTGGAATTCGTCTTGATCGGTGGTTCTCAACCAGGGACAGCTTTGCCCCTAGCGGACACTGAGCAGTGTCTCGAGACATTTTTGGGTGTCAAGACTAGTGCGGGGAATGCTACCGGCATCCAGTGGGTAGAGGGCAGGGATGCTGCTAAAATTCCACAAAGCACAGGATAGTCCCCTACCCAGCCACAACAAAAGATGATCTTGTCCAAAATATCAAGTGCCCCTGCTGAGAAATCCTAGAATAGAGGTTACAGGTTAGGCCCTGTGCTGCTGGCCATGTGCCCCTTGTCATTGGTTTCTGCTCAGAGCCCTGAAGTGTTAGCTGAAGGGGTCCTGCTGGGATTATGATTGGATTAAACAGTGAGTTGAGATTAAGGGCTACATGGTAAGAAAAACAAAACAAAACAAAACAAAAACATTTCTTAAAAGTTGCATGGAAAGTTCTCATAGGAAAAAGAAATTCAAATGGGTTGCCAAACCACTCATCATGCCCGTCCCCTTAATCCCCAGCTTCATCAGATTTCAATTAGTAGATCAGAGCCCCTCACTTGCTTTGAACATTGGACAACTTACCTTATTGAGCCCATAAATCCTGTGGCTACTGAATCATCTGTCCTGATACTTCTGGAGATGAATGGTGGCTAGGTTCACGGCCAAAACCTGGACTTGCTGACCATGCAGGGAGACCCAGATGATTTCATACTGAAAGAGCATCTCATTTTACATTCTATGGAATCTACTCCTTGGGGCTCAAGAGTCACTCATTCAGGGGTGAGGAAACTTTTCTTCCAGAGAGTACACAGAATGGGCTGGATCTTTCTTGGAAGGCGAGTGGGTCAATTCATTTGATGTCTTTATTTGCAAAGCTGGTCTAAAATGAGATTACAGGCAAAGCAATCCAGATCTTTAGTCTACCAGCAGCCAGTGTGCCCAGACTTGCACCCTACAGCAATGGGGCTCCACTCCTAAGCCCCCAGTGTCCTAAAGAGAAACCAAGCCCACCTGGATCCTTCAGCATCAACTACTGGAGGCTACAGGATTTGCCGATTGGATTAGGTGAGGTCCAGACTCAAGTGCAGACTCAAGTGAGGTCCAGAAGGAAGGAAGGGGTTTGAACATGAAGGAGTTTTTGACTCTGTCACATAATTGCCCAAAGGCGGGAGGCAGACTATGGTGAGCAGATTCCAGGGAAGAGAGGAAATCTAAGGGCTCCACCCAACCCTTAGTCATTGGCATGCTTATTCACCTTGTCTGGATATTAGAATCTGCTGGAACCTTGAAAGATCTCGATGCTCAGGCCACACCCAATCCAATCAAGTCAGAGTCTCTGGAGGTGGAGCCTTGGCATCAAGATTTTTAAAGAGACTTTCCCAGATGATTCCCATGTCCAGACAAGGTTGGGAACCACCAGCCTGGAGTAGTGATTGAAGCTGGTTCATGGCCCCCACATCCATGTTCACACTCAGAGAGACAATAGGAAAAGAGAAAGTGGTGGGGTCTTGAGTTCACAACCTAGAAGTAGTAGCTGCCTTTTCCACTTGCATCCCATTGGTCTGTACTTGTTCACGTGGCCACACCTAGCCGAAAGGATGCTGGGAAATGTAGCCTCCTGTTAGGCCAGCTTGTCACTAGCTAAGCTTCTGGAGGTTCCAACAGTAGGAAGGAAGATGGGTAGGACGGATATTGGTGGAACTTAGTCTTTCCCCCACTATTACACAGTCTTGGTGGAGGAAGTGGAAAGTGTATGGTGGAAAAGGGGAGAAAGTAGGAGGTGGGGCAAGAGAAGCTGGGAGTGGCTGATCCGTTTGTGTTTGGCCAAATCTTTGGTCAGTATCTACAAAGTGCAGCTCTTCTCTATTCCATGGCTGGGCGGCTTTGCCTTCATTCAAAATGAATACCAAACCCCAGGTGAGGTGCTAAGAGTGCAGCTGATTCTCTCATGGAAGTCTGTTATTGCTCAGAGGCAAGCTGGGGAAGTCAGATCTACGGGTCACTGGTAGACACAGGATTATCCCTACCCTGCCCCTTCCCAGTGTGGGACAGCTCCTCAATTCCTTCATCTTCGAGCTGGGGGCTGCTAACTCGACCGTCTTCATAGGGTTATTTGAAGACACACAAAATGCAATGATACATATAAAACTTTTTGCCTGTTCAGAACTTTATAGGGTGCAAGAAGGAAACAACTTTATCCACCACTCATTCCCACCCACCTCTCCCTGTAAACCTACACTGTGAGTTAGTTTGGTTTTCCAATGCTGGATGAAAGTTCTGGCAAGTCCCATAACTTTCCTGATCCCTTCCAGTTAATAAATCCTCCAAGCACTGTCAGTGACAAGAACCATCTCAATGTAGCTCCGTCTACATGCAGTTCAGATGTTAGTGTAATGAGCAAAACTCAGAACTTCATCCAGAGGTAAAGTTCCTTCTCTCCTCCACTTGAACTGAGCCAGGTTGGGGAAGGGGGGCAGCTTCTTCTCTCTTTCCTGTCTTGCTCTGCTTTTCTTCTTCCCCACTTACCATGTAGCCCGTGGCTCCTGGAGGGGTGGGCTGGTGAGCCAGGAAGTTCTTAGCTGACAGACACAAAAAAGCATCGGTTATGGTGCTTGCTGGGATTCACCTGCGGGCTCTTCCTTAGCTGGGGTTTTCTTGGATTCTTGGGGCCTTCTGGTCCCTTCCTTGGTCAGAAGGGACCACGAGTCTCCTCCAGCCGGCTGCATGAGGAATTCATCCCATGGTCCACATCTCGGCTGTGATCACATCCCCCGTTGCTGGGGCAAGAGTCAAATGACTGTGCACCAGCTCCCTTCTGTGTAGACCCTTCAGACCCTGGCATCCTTGCCCCAGTTAGACAGCTCTGCCCTTTTTTCTCTCCTCTCTGTTGCGTGGCTTTACCTGATCTCAGCTTTCTTCTGGTTCTTTCCCTCTCACTCTGACTGCACAAGTCAAGCCCTCTGAGTGACTCATAAAACTCCTTTCTTAGCTTAAGAGAGAGCCAAGCACCCTCTTCCCCAGGGAGTGGGTTTGCAAGAATGACTTTCACCACCCCCTGTGCTAGTCCTGCCCACGCGTCCAGCACTTCATTGGGACCTGCTTGGCCAGTGGTTGGCACCTACTGTTTTCTTCTTGGCCTTTGGGGCCACAGCAGAAATGGAGACAGAACGAATCCTATTTTAACATTCTATTTTATTTGTCACATTTTCACGAACAGAGTAATGTCTTTAGGAGTCCTAAGGTGGTTGTGTCTTTGCCTTCTGGGGAGGGGACCCTTGGTGGCTTATTTGAGGCTGTGAATGTGTTGAGTCTGAGAAGAGACAGTGCTATCCCTTGCTTCTTTGTTAGGAAAGAAAAGAAGAAATATCTTTAAGGAGTCTGTACCAGCCAAGTACTGCAGGGTCCCCGGGTCCAGAGAAGGTGAGCAGGGGAGGGTGAGGGGATGTGGGATCTCCACTCACCTCGGCCTCAGAGGCCCGGCCTTCTGCTCTGGGCACCATCTCCTCACACTTCACCAGAAGAGGGAGTCCACAGCTCACAGATCCCCAAAGAGGGGTGGCTGGGATTTCCCCTTAGGAATCCAGAGCCCAGCATTGGCGACGTCAGAGGGGTCTTGAAGAGAGGTACAGATTGGGGGGGGGGCTGGGGGCAGCAGGAGGGGCTGGGCCTCCCCTATGAGCTTTGTTCTCTTGTCCCCAGCCCTAGAGCCCCTGGCACTGGTGGAGGTGGGGACCTTTCGAGAGAAGCTTCTTGCTTACTGCTCTTGGCTGGGCCTCCCCCCCACCCCCCACTCCCACCACAGGGTTCTCCAGGATGCTGCGCTCTGGTGGGGACGAGGGCTGATGCTCTGTTCCTACTGGCTTTGGGTGTGGGTTGACATTCTGCAGAAAAGTCCCACAGAAAGAGACTCTCTCCCTTGCTCAGACTGGTGATAGAATTCCACTTTTTGAGGGACTTCTTTGTGCAAATCTCTGCCCCGTAGGACTGGGAACTGATGGGTCCTCATTCAGGGTCTGCTTCCTGGCCCCAGTGATCTGGCAGCCCCTCTGTTAAACAGGTGGGGATGGAAGCCTGGGACAGCCAGAGGGGCCAGAGCCGGTGATATTTAGGGCAGATACATGGTATCAGAAAACACGCTTTTCAACTTCTCTGCTGATGGGAGGGACCCGTGTGTGGCCATATGACAAGGGCCCAAGGGAGG